CTTATCAACCAGCAAATTATTTAATCAGATGTGCTAGATTAGGGTTGGAGTGAAAACCTACAGGATAGGTAGCTCTCCACGAACAGGGTTGGAGAGCCCTGTCCTAGGCAATAGATCGCAAAGCAGCATCCCCGCTAAACTTTTTGGAAATGGCAAGTTCACTTTCTCATCCATAAACACAGTCAAGTGCAAATACGGTTCAGCAGCTCAAATCAGCAGGATGTGGGGCACTGTTATTAGGAAAGACGTCTACCAGGGATGGATCGCTAAAATAATGATTATGGGGAGACCTATACATTTGGCAGCCAAGCATGAGTTATCAGTGTGACCTATTATCGTCTAGACGTGACGTTGAAATATCTTCACGCCTACAATAAAAACCTCCAGGCTTCCGTCATAAGAGTCAAAAACCCCTGCCATGAGGTCAAAGGAATTGTCCGTAGAGCTCCGAGACAGGATTGTGTCGAGGCACAGATCTGGGGAATGGTACCAAAACATTTCTGCAGCATTGAAAGTCCCCAAGAACACAGTGGCCTCCATCATTCTTAAATGAAAGAAGTTTGGAACCACCAATACTCTTCCTAGAGCTGGCCGCTCAGCTAAACTGAGCAATCTGGGGAAAAGGGCCTTGGTCAGGGAGGTGACCAAGAACCCAATGGTCACTCTGACAGAGCTCCAGAGTTCCTCTGTGGAGATGGGAGAACCTTCCAGAAGGACAACCATTTCTGCAGCACTCCACCAATCAGGCCTTTATGGTAGAGTGGCCAGACGGAAGCCACACATCAGTAAAAGGCACATGACAACCCGCTTGGAGTTTGCCAAAAGGCACCTAAAGGACTCTCAGACCATGAGAAACAAGATTCTCTGGTCTGATGAAACCAAGATTGAACTCTTTGACCTGAATGCCAAGCGTCACGTCTGGAAGAAACGTGGCACCATCACTACGGTGAAGAATGGTGGTGGCAGCATAATGCTGTGCGGATGTTTTTCAGTGGCAGGGACTGGGAGACTAGTCAGGATCGAGGGAAAGATGAACGGAGCAAAGTACAGAGAGATCCTTAATGAAAACCTGCTCCAGAGCGCTCAGGACCTCAGACTGGGGCAAAGGTTCACCTTCCAACAGGACAACGACCCTAAGCACACAGCCAAGACAACGCAGGAGTGGCTTCGGGACAAGTCTCTGTCCTTGAGTGGCCCAGCCAGAGCCCATACTTGAACCCGATCAAACATCTCTGGAGAGACCTGAAAATAGCTGTGCAGCGACGCTCCCCATCCAGCTTGAGAGGATCTGCAGAGAACGGGAGAAACTCCCCAAATACAGGTGTGCCAAGCTTGTAGCGTCATACCCAAGAAGACTCACTGCCAAAGGTGCTTCAATACGTACTGAGTAAAGGGTCTGAACACTTATGTAAATGTGATATTTCAGTTGTTTTTATTTTATACATTTACAAAAATGTCAACCTGTTTTTGCTTTGTTATTATGGGGTATTGGGGGGGGGGGGGGAATAAGTCCCATTTTATAGCATGCGGTGGAGGGAAAGTGCACACGCCATAATCCTAGGCTTAACAAGTCACATACGTTGCATGGAGTCACTGTGTGCAATAATAGTTTTTAATATGAATTTTGAATGACTATCTCATCTCTGTACCCCACACATACAATTATCTGTAAGGTTGCTCAGTCGAGCAGTGAATTTCAAACACAGATTCAACCACAAAGACCAGGCAGGTTTTCCAATGCCTCGCAAAGAAGGGCACCTACAGTGAGGGGAAAAAAGTATTTGATCCCTTGCTGATTTTGTACGTTTGCCCACTGACAAAGACATGATCAGTCTATAATTTTAATGGTAGGTTTATTTGAACAGTAAGAGACAGAATAACAACAAAAAAATCCAGAAAAAAGCATGTCAAAAATGTTATAAATTGATTTGCATTTTAATGAGGGAAATAAGTATTTGACCCCTCTACAAAACATGACTTAGTACTTGGTGGCAAAACCCTTGTTGGCAATCACAGAGGTCAGACGTTTCTTGTAGTTGGCCACCAGGTTTGCACACATCTCAGGAGGGATTTTGTTCCACTCCTCTTTGCAGATTTTCTCCAAGTCATTAAGGTTTCGAGGCTGACGTTTGGCAACTCGAACCTTCAGCTCCCTCCACAGATTTTCTATGGGATTAAGGTCTGGAGACTGGCTAGGCCACTCCAGGACCTTAATGTGCTTCTTCTTGAGCCACTCCTTTGTTGCCTTGGCCGTGTGTTTTGGGTCATTTTCATGCTGGAATACCTATCCACGACCCATTTTCAATGCCCTGGCTGAGGGAAGGAGGTTCTCACCCAAGATTTGACGGTACATGGCCCCGTCCATCGTCCCTTTGATGCGGTGAAGTTGTCCTGTCCCCTTAGCAGAAAAACACCCCCAAAGCATAATGTTTCCACCTCCATGTTTGACGGTGGGGATGGTGTTCTTGGGGTCGTAGGCAGCATTCCTCCTCCTCCAAACGCACGCTCGATTTTGGTCTCATCTGACCACAACAGTTCTCCACTGAATCATTCAGATGTTCATTGGCAAACTTCAGATGGCCCTGTATATGTGCTTTCTTGAGCAGGGGGACATTGCGGGCGCTGCAGGATTTCAGTCCTTCACGGCGTAGTGTGTTACCAATTGTTTTCTTGGTGACTATGGTCCCAGCTGCCTTGAGATCATTGACAAGATCCTCCCGTGTAGTTCTGGGCTGATTCCTCACCGTTCTCATGATCATTGCAACTCGACGAGGTGAGATCTTGCATGAAGCCCCAGGCCGAGGGAGATTGACAGTTCTTTTGTGTTTCTTCCATTTGCGAATAATCGCACCAACTGTTGTCACCTTCTCACCAAGCTGCTTAGCGATGGTCTTGTAGCCCATTCCAGCCTTGTGTAGGTCTAAAATCTTGTCCCTGACATCCTTGGAGAGCTCTTTGGTCTTGGCCACGGTGGAGAGTTTGGAATCTGATTGATTGATTGCTTCTGTGGACAGGTGTCTTTTTATACAGGTAACAAGCTTAGATTAGGAGCACTCCCTTTAAGAGTGTGCTCCTAATCTCAGCTCGTTACCTGTATAAAAGACACCTGGGAGCCAGAAATCTTTCTGATTGAGAGGGGGTCAAATACTTATTTCCCTCATTAAAATGCTAATCAATTTATAACATTTTTGACATGCGTTTTTATGGATTCTTTGTTTTGTTATTCTGTCTCTCACTGTTCTAATAAACCTACCATTAAAATTATAGACTGATCATTTCTTTGTCAGTGGGCAAACATACAAAATCAGCAGGGGATCAAATACTTTTTTCCCTCACTGTAACGGTAGATGGGTAAACATTTAAAAAGCAGACATTGAATATCCCTTTGAGCATGGTGAAGTTATTAATTACACTTTGGATGGTGAATCAAATACACCCAGTCACTACAAAGATACAGGCATCCTTCCTAACTCAGTTGCCTTAGAGTAAGGAAACTGCTCAAGGATTTCACCATGAGGCCAATGGTGACTTTAAAACAGTTATAGTTTAATGGCTGTGATTGATGCAGAAAGGAAATGGCATACTGGGTCAATTTCCACAACGACTAAGAGCCTTGAAATACAAGGCTCAACTTCTCCACTGTTTTGGTGCCCTGGCTAGCACTGAAGCAAACCCGTGCAGATACTGTGTGAGAGCAAAGTGTTGCATCTCGCTCATCTCAATATATCCAGTGCTGCTCGTGGCAACGTCATTTCACTGAGTCTACATTTAATTTCATATAACTTAAGCCGATCACTGTGTAGTTTAATGGTTTACCTGCTATTAAAATGCACTATGCAGAAACTGCTCCGCCATTTCCTGGTTGCTAAATTTCAAATAGTTAGCTAATTTCAGTTTTTGACAAAACAAGCAAGTATAGTGTAGATCATTATTGTACCATCTAAACCGCCATGAAATATATTTTCAATAACCAAAAATATTGTTTTGAAGCTGGTGTACAAAACCGAAAGTAAAATACGCAAAAACTAAACTTAACGGGAAGCATAGAAATAGCGCACATAGAACAGATCTACCGCTTTTTAGACTTGCTTTCAATGAGAATTGAATATAACACTCATTTCTATGTGAATTTGGTCGGGTCACCCAAGAATTACATATTGCAGCTTTAATGGACTTATACATTAATTGTATGTACCCATTGATTCTTGAAGAATATAACTTATAAATGTCTCATGAGCTTATTAGTTCAACTGTAGTACCCTATTAGAACCCATAAATAAATATATATATATATATATATATATATATATATATATATATATATATATATATATATATATATATATAAGCTTGTTTTACTCAGTTTGTTTACATTTTTTTGTTTACAATCACTATATGGCCTCAAGACATGGTTAAAACTATAATTTTGATATCATGGATGGTCAGTCCTTGCATCTATAGCTCTGTCTATAAACTTTTTTGAGAGGTTATATTTCTCCAGCCCATCCCTCAGCTTAGTACCGAACTAAGGGCGGGGAGACCGCTTTGTTGTTTCTACCGCTTTGTTATTGTTTCTACGGCTTTGTTATTGTTTCTACGGCTTTGTTATTGTTTCTACGGCTTTGTTATTGTTTCTACGGCTTTGTTATTGTTTCTACGGCTTTGTTATTGTTTCTACGGCTTTGTTATTGTTTCTACGGCTTTGTTATTGTTTCTACGGCTTTATTGACACTTTAAAGCTCAGTTCATGGAGAAGTAACAACTCATGTGGCCAGATTCCAGTGTTGGAACTGGGACTGGTCTGCCCCCCTGTGGCTGTCAAAGTATTTCATACATCATGCTGCTGGAAAGGAAAAGTCGTGGTGCTGTATGTGTGTGCTAGTGAGCACTGTAAAAAGATTAGGAAACCGCATTTCCACTTACACAAGAGGGTAGGATGTAGTAATATGAAGATTGAAGACCTTATTTCTCCTACCTTCTCTATTGTGTATGGCTGCAGGTCCCTCCCTAAACATGAGCGTCTGGTGGATCTCCACGGCTCGGTGATTGACCACACGTACGGTGGGGGCTCCAGCATCGCTGTGCTGCTCATAATGGAGAGGCTTCACAGAGACCTCTACACAGGCCTGAAGGTAACCAGCAGACTCACATATCTACCATGTACTCTAATATAGCTCTTCTAGCACAGGTCTACCTGATCCCATGCCTCAGTCTCTCCTTTTCCTCTCTCTCTCTCTCGCCCTCTCTCCCAGGCTGGTTTATCACTAAAGGAGAGACTCCGGATCGCTCTGGACGTGGTGGAAGGCATTCGCTTCCTGCATGGTCAGGGGCTTCTGCACCGAGACATCAAACTAAAGAATGTTCTAGTGAGTGAGGGTTAAAGGTGCTTTCTCCAATTATGCTGAATGTGTAACACTAGTGTGGGTCATCACATTGTCAAATCATATCATTTCAATTGTTTCCATTGATTTAATTTTAGACTTAGTTCTAATGCTGAACTGAGTTCAGCTGTGGTCATGGCTGACTGGCCACAGTAGAAACTCTATTAAGCACCACCCACACCAATGAATTCCTCATTATTTCATCATTCACATTCCGCCTGTGCTGCTTAATTGGTTATGTAAGAATAGCCCCTCCCTGCCTACACAGTATGATGTTTGGCGGTGGCACGAAATGGCTGGGTTTTAATGAATAAACAAGTTGTAGGTGTGTCGAGGTTTGGCCCCTCACTGGCCAATCAGAACATGCTCCATGGCTAAATATGTGGTTGCTTCATATTGTGTATTTACGGTCTTTACGGTCTTCTATGTATTGCGTTCTCATAAACTCAAATTCCAATGTTAGTCCATTATAGCCTAGTTTGTTAAATAGCCTGCCCATATTTGCTAAATATGGTGAACATGTTCTAATTGCATTGCTTCAATATGGAAATACATTGTTAAACATAGGTTAGAGCATTCACGCTGATTTAGGGGCTAGGCATACTGTAAATTGCAGTCTGGACATGCCAAACGTAGTCATTAAGCAAGATAACATTCACTAGGCTATTGATAAGGCCTGAAAAGACAGTGTATAATTCTAATCAAATTCTGATAAAAACTAAACAACTTGTTTTAAATAGGCTATGACTAAATATAGTTACAGGCACCATAATTGCTCCTTGTGGGCGTATAATACATACAAGGCAACTTAAAAAGGTTATACATTTTAGTCATTTAGCAGAAGCTCTTATCCAGAGCGACGTACAGTTAGTGCATTCATCTTAAGATTGCTAGGGGGGACAACCACATCACAGTCTTGGTAAGTACATTTTTCCTCAAAGTAGCTATCAGCAAAGTCAGCTAGGGAGTTCACGCACATCCAAACATTTCACAGAAGCTGGATAAAGATCCAATATAAAGAGAAAGGGGGAATGTCCACTCACCGTTATACTGCTTGCAAATGTAATGTTTTAAAAACATAATGGAACCATCTTACAGATCATATTTCCACTTTTCCAGAAATAGCAGACAAAATGTCATTGCATTTGAGTCATGTATTTCTCACCATAAACCCATGGACGTGAATCTTTCCAAGTTTGTTTTTCGTTTAATTTGATTATAAAACAATCTGCTTTTTAAACCAACAACAATATTTGTACGTGTGATCGGGTCAGAAGCATGATATCATGAATCGTTTCTCTTCCATTGCACTGTGTGCTGCAACGTGGTCTCAGAGCATTTCTTATTATTCTGTACGTAAATCCGAGATGCTCCATTTAGTATGATATGTTATGTTTCCATAAAAAAAAAAAATGTTTCCTATGGTACCTATTAATTTGTGGATGTCCATCACCCATTTTGTATGATATGTTACGGCTTACAATTCATATTATATGTTACAAATTTGCTAGCTGGCTAACGTTAGCTAGTCTAGGGGTTAGGATTAAGTTTACGAGTTAGGTTAGGGGAAGGGTTAGCTAAAATGTTAAGTAGTTGCAAAGTAGTTGGAAAGTTGCTAATTAGCTAAAATGCTAAAGTTGTCCTTGATGAGATTTGATTCGCGACCTTTGGGCTGCTAGACATTCACATTATACCATCTGTCTTATGCTGCTAGTCATTCACATTATACCATCTGTCTTATGTAACCATACCAAACGTAACATATCGTACTAATTTGACTGTCCCGGATTTACATTTACCATGTTACGTCTAGTCTGAGACCAGGCTGTGTTCACAAGTAGGCTTACATGTCTTTACGTGTAACATTCGCAGGTCTATACAAAATACTTGGCTCGTGTCAATTGTATCGATCCCTGTGTGTGAGGCAGATTATAAAACAAATCTGCTGTTGATATGGCATTATAGGAGGTTTGAATAGTTTGGAGGAGCACACGTCTGGTAATCGGATGAGGAGTGCTCTTTGAAAATGGGGATGGATAGAATACTCGAACAAGCGAAATGAATTATGCCAATTTGTGAATAGTGAAAAAGCATGAGGGCAAAAACCAAAAATATTTAAAAGCACTCTCAGTAGACCATTTAAACCCCCTTTCTTCATAGACTATTTGGCTAATGGCCTGGTTAAAAAGAAGCACCTATGCGATGCTGCTAAACCAGCCTTGATTGAGGGGAGGGTAGGCTATGCTTGGTTTTTGATCAAGTGAAAGAAATCAAGTGACCTTAAGTGTATGCTTTTCTGACTTTGTGTATGACATGAGAAAACAATATTTATGGTCCTGACCTGTCACGTCTTGTACATATCTTGCCAAAAGTGTTCCTAATGTGTTCCGGTCCTCTGGCCCTCCCTCAGTTGGACAAGCAGAACCGGGCCAAGATCACAGACCTGGGCTTCTGTAAGCCAGAGGCCATGATGTCTGGCAGCATCGTAGGAACCCCCATCCACATGGCCCCTGAGCTCTTTACAGGTCAAATATCCTGCTACTCAGTCATAGTATTGCATCATAGACCACCTCTCATTCTAGGCTCTTTGATTTAACCCCAAGTCTGACCTCTCTCTTTCTTCAGGAAAGTATGATAATTCTGTGGATGTCTATGCCTTTGGAATCCTGTTCTGGTATCTCTGCACTGGCTCCGTCAAACTCCCAGAGTCCTTTGAGAAATGCTCCAGCAAGGACCAGTTGTGGAATAATGTTAAAAAAGGTAATGTAGAATTCCAGCTTAAGCAAACCCACAGCTAAAATACTAATTCAAACTGAATATGATCAAGACCAAATAGCTTGTTGTAACATTTGTCTTTTATCCAGGACTTAGTGTGTCTGTGTATTTTTGTGTTTGTGCATGTGTGTGTGTAGTTTGTCTGTTGACTGAATTAGGCTAGAGAGCTGCCAGGGCCTCATTTGTGCCCATGTTGTTTGCAGGCGCGAGGCCTGAGCGGTTGACCGGCTTTGATGAGGAATGCTGGCAGCTGATGGAGGCCTGCTGGAATGGAGACCCTTCCCAGAGGCCCCTGCTCGGCATCGTAGAGCCCAGCCTGCAAAGCATCATGGTACGGCTCTGTAAATGTGGCTCGCATCAGAAGAGCAACAGCCTGGAGGACTCAAACTGACACACTCCGAGAGGACCACAGACTGTTGCAAAGGATTACGGAGAAAAAAAAACTACTTTTTGTTGTATTTATGGAAAAAGGACCGTGTGCTTCTGGAAGGCCAAGAGAGGAGATGGCCAATATTAAAGAGTGACCAAGACAGTGTTGCTCTTCCTTTACATATACACTATTTAAGATTAACTGAAACCGGGACAAACATGTTCACAAATGTTTATGGATATGTGTTTGTGCAATGTGTATTTGTATAGTGCAAACTCAGTCTAGCATACACTATGCTGTCCTCCATGCTAATTGGTGTTTGGTTATAGGATTGTAACTAGATATAAAACATTTTAAATGTAGTAAAACATATATATTAATTTTAGATTGTATTTAAATTGGTTAAGAGTATTCCTGCATCTATGCAATTCCAACTTTTTTAATAAAATGATTTTGACAAAATAATCAATTGTTTCACTTCATTCTTACATAGGGTTCTGTTTTCAGCATGTTCACAGCTATATGGAATTGTTTTAAAAAGGTCATACTAAGGATAATTTTTCTATTTGATTTAGAATTTTAAGACCCCTTGAAGTATGAAAAAAAATAAAAACATGTATTTTGCCTTACTGCTATTAGCCTATACAAACTCATTGAATAACAGATTCACTGCATGGAACACATAGGTCCCCCCAAAAAAAATCTAAAGGAAGTTTGTTCTGAAGTGTTTATCCTATATCTGAGCAATACAAGAAAGATAAAGCAACATAATGAAAACATTTATTTAACCCCTTATTTTTGTCACTAAACAGACTCCATATATACTTCCATAAATGTTTCCGACTGGTACCGGGGATCTTCAGACGACTCGTGAGGCCTGTCCTAGAGCAAAACAACCGACATGTATGTGTTCGTGTCTCACCTTTACACAGTGTGTAGCCCAAACGGTTCGGACTCTACAGACAGAAATGGGCAGATCAGCTGTACGACCTTCCGACGAGTCCCAAGACGCTTGTGGGGTCGTAGAGCAGAACGTGTTCGTGAGTCATCTTTCCATAGATGGGTCATAATAGTTTGTAGGCCAAACCAAACGATTTTGTGAGAACACCGATTTTCGAGATATCTCATGGTCTGACAAACACGGCTCTAGCGCTGTCACCTTTCACCGTAGATGCGGAAGCGTTAGATTGAGACGCATCAAATGCAAAGAAAACATCTCGATCTTAAACTGACAGATGTTGTATTATGCTAATTCGATTTCCGCGAGGGCGCGGACATCGACCTTAGGGTTTTCTAACCTATTATACTGTAGTGTACATGAATGTATTTTATTTGCATTGAATGTTAACTTATCTTTCTAAGATACTGTACAGTATATTGAAGACTACTGTATATACTTCTGTGATCTGGAGGTTTTAAAAATTCAAAATCAAATAGCAAAATGATCCTTGGAATTACCTTAAAACAATTCCATATAGCTTAGTAATATTGAGAAAGGTAATCTTAGAAACCTCCTGGTTAGTGTCCCTACACGTTAACATCTTAAATTATCGGAGCATGTACTCTTTCGTCGTCTCCATCTCCGTGTTACTGTAGACTACAAGTAGGGCACCAGCCAGTCACCATCTGATGAAAGAGCTCCATAAGCTTATTGATAGCGTGAAGTGCCAGCTATCCTCCAAGATTGGGGACAGTGAGTCGGCCCCAGAGGGAGGAGTGCTTGGGGCCCGGGTGGGGCAGGGCACTGTCTGCCATGCCTGGGTAGGGGCAGTGGAGCCTCAGCTGCTAAAGATGGAGACAATGCTCTACCCCGCAAGGAGCGTCCCCTTGAAGCAGATTAGACAACAGAATTATAGAAATAAAACACTTGAATTTCAACATTGTTTAATAGAAATAAATGACTCATCTGTGATTCTTCTTGAGTTTGTCGCTTATGTTTCAGTTGCAGCTCAGCACATTGTCCACCAGAGGGCTCTAATGACTGGACTGTAGTAAAGTTCAGCATTCTACTACACAGTTCGATACAAAATGCTTGGCCTAAATCAGCTACATGTTCATGTGACATCTTGCATTGGGATATCCATGGAATGCTCTTATTAGGCTACGGAGGCCATTTCCCCTGAAGGAATAAAAAAACAAATCCACTGTATTAAAAGCACATCTGTCCGTTTTACTCATTGAATGTGTGAATTCCTTTACAAAGCCATTTCACATAGAAAAATACAAGCCATATCTAGTCTACCCTGTATCAATAAAGCTTTGACATCAGTAACCTTCTAGAGGTCTTGGTTTTAAGCAGTTGATTGCTTGGCGCTCCAATTATGACGTGAACTGTTTGTACAAACCAGATAACGGGAAAAACTGTGTCATTCAAACAGATATGCTACTCATACTCCCTACTCTTCACAGTTGAGTCTAAACAAACTGATTCATTAGGAACCTGATAATGTGGTGATGAATAGGCTGCAGTATGAAAATGGAAGGCCTGATATTCAATAACCCTTCAAACAAATGTTTTACTAAACTTCACCTTGTATTTACCTTGATATAGTGCTTCATTTTAAAGAAACAATTGGCAATGTAGAAATTGACCTTACTTGACACATACAGTATATTGTCGAGGTATCATGGAGAATGCTCTCAGATGTCAGTTCATTTCATTTTAGGGAGCACCATTGCAAACAGTCTTATTAAAGTGTTATTAAATCTTCCAATAAAACATGATTTAGATAAAGCCTGTGTGTGTTGGTGCTTGTGGAGTAACGTTCAATTAGTGGCAAGACCTTTTAAGGCTGATAGAAATGTTATCCATGGTTTAAATTTACACATCAAAACATGTAATATGTGAGAAAAATAACAGGTTGTTTTCTTTCATACACATCAAATTGCCTGAACTGCTTTTTATTAGTGGGAATGTAGTGGTGTACAGTATATTTGACTGACAGGTTTGCACAGTTTATGCAATATGATTCAATTGAAGATGTTGCATGAAGTATTAGTGTCTTTCTTTTTATAGACACCTCTGTACAGTAAAATTGGAATACATTTCAAAGAGTATTACAGCACAAGTTTGCAAATATTTCAGTAAGTATTTTACAAAACAATGGATCCTTCACATCTAATCTATAAAATACAAAGTCGTTTAGTCGCTGATTCAAATGAAGGCATATATCCCTTGGACAAAAACATTGAAAATGGGAGCAAAAATGAGCTCCCAACAATTTACAAAAGTCAAGATGTATCAAAAGTTCTTGTTATACGAGTTCTTGACACGCAGGCTCTTTTCCACCAATAATGCAATAAAACGAAGGCGAAATGGTGGAGAAAGGCAGACATTCTCACCTCTAGTGTCTATGTGTATGACAGCTGACTAGTCGCTGTTGCCTTGATAAACATCCTTCAGTAGTGAGAGAAACTGTTTACAGAGTACTTCCATTACGGGGCATGACCCGAGTGACCCCATGGCTTCACTGTCCACAACCCAGTTCTCCAGCCACACTTCCAACAGGAGTCCTTTCCTCCAGTGCAGAACACAGTGTAGTGGTTTGACCTCAGCTGGGTGGAGCTGTTCATCTCTCTGTCCCTCTCCTCTGTAGAGACCTGTTCAGTCTAAGGACATTTTGGACTGACTGCTCTTCCTGTCCACCAGCTCAGGCTGGCAGCTTCCTGAGACTAGAGTGGAGAAGTGAGTTCTCTCTACAGCAAAACTCAAATTGACCTCAGCCCTCAGTAGAATAACTAAATCCTTGAACAAAACAACTGTACAGGTGACCCTTTCTGAAATTACAAACTAGTTAAGCTTGATGAGGAAATTCCCTGAACTTTTAAAATCTTACAGCTAAATGACCCAGCCAAAGGAGGACTTCATTGTTCTTAATCTCCGGAGTTTGAAACATAAAAACAACCACAATAAACAACAACAAAAATGAAAATCAGCTCCAATTGACTACCAGCACATCTGACCGGGCAGTGTAAATTATTTTTAAAAGTGCATCGCTTCAAGTATGTAAACAAACAATGATTTAAAGAGAGAGAGAGAGACTCATTCCATCAGTGCGCTCGAGCCTGTGCCCTTGCAGAGACTCCTGAGGTTTTGGCACTCTCACACACACACATTCTCATGCACGCGCGCACACACACATTCTCATACACATGCAGAGAAAAACATGGGGGAAGAGAGAGGGTACTCCATGGATCTCCAGGTGAGGACAGTCCAACGCTCTCTGTGTCTCAGACATAAGCTCCTGTCACTCAGAGAAAAGTAAGCATGGCGATGAGAGGCGAGGCTCTATGACCTGCAAAGACACACCCCTCCGTCAGCCGGTTCATATGGAGGTGTTGCGGTGGCTGCTGGGAAAATGGGAGGGGGGGGGCGACAAACGTTACACAACACAGGGGGAAAACAGAAGGAACAGAAAACAATGAATAAGAATGATTCACCCACACAAGTACGTACACACACACGTACAGTGGGGAAAAAAAGTATTTAGTCAGCCACCAATTGTGCAAGTTCTCCCACTTAAAAAGATGAGAGAGGCCTGTAATTTTCATCATAGGTACACGTCAACTATGACAGACAAATTGAGAAAATAAAATCCAAAAAATCACATTGTAGGATTTTTAATGAATTTATTTGCAAATTATGGTGGAAAATAAGTATTTGGTCACCTACAAACAAGCAAGATTTCTGACTCTCACAGACATACAAGACCACTGATAATCTCCCTCGATCTGGGGCTCCACGCAAGATCTCACCCCGTGGGGTCAAAATGATCACAAGAACGGTGAACAAAAATCCCAGAACCACACGGGGGGACCTAGTGAATGACCTGCAGAGAGCTGGGACCAAAGTAACAAAGCCTACCATCAGTAACACACTACGCCGGACGGGCCAGGGACTCAAATCCTGCAGTGCCAGACGTGTCCCCCTGCTTAAGCCAGTACATGTCCAGGCCCGTCTGAAGTTTGCTAGAGTGCATTTGGATGATCCAGAAGAGGATTGGGAGAATGTCATATGGTCAGATGAAACCAAAATAGAACTTTTTGGTAAAAACTCAACTCGTCATGTTTGGAGGACAAAGAATGCTGAGTTGCATCCAAAGAACACCATACTTACTGTGAAGCATGGGGGTGGAAACATCATGCTTTGGGGCTGTTTTTCTGCAAAGGGACCAGGACGACTGATCCGTGTAAAGGAAAGAATGAATGGGGCCATGTATCGTGAGATTTTGAGTGAAAACCTTCTTCCATCAGCAAGGGCATTGAAGATGAAACGTGGCTGGGTCTTTCAGCATGACAATGATCCCAAACACACCGCCCGGGCAACGAAGGAGTGGCTTCGTAAGAAGCATTTCAAGGTCCTGGAGTGGCCTAGCCAGTCTCCAGATCTCAACCCCATAGAAAATCTTTGGAGGGAGTTGAAAGTCCGTGTTGCCCAGCGACAGCCCCAAAACATCACTGCTCTAGAGGAGATCTGCATGGAGGAATGGGCCAAAATACCAGCAACAGTGTGTGAATACCTTGTGAAGACTTACAGAAAACGTTTGACCTGTGTCATTGCCAACAAAGGGTATATAACAAAGTATTGAGAAACTTTTGTTATTGACCAAATACTTATTTTCCACCATAATTTGCAAATAAATTCATTAAAAATCCTACAATGTGATTTTCTGGAGAAAAACAATCTCATTTTGTCTGTCATAGTTGACGTGTACCTATGATGAAAATTACAGGCCTCTCTCATCTTTTTAAGTGGGAGAACTTGCACAATTGGTGGCTGACTAAATACTTTTTTTCCCCACTGTATGCACAGTGTAAGAGGTGATAACCAAATTATATGGGATTCTTATTTTGGTTATATGGGGTGAAGGATACTGAATGATCGATCGATAAGAAGACCGTGATCCTGATTTCAAATGAGGATCAAGTGCTTCAGTGAATAAAATTAAAGAATAGGAATCTATGTTTTTGGAGAGAGAGAGAGAGAAAGGACAGAGAAGGATGGTTAGTAAGCTACAATACTCTGCACTGTAGACACTGGTCATAATAAAATGATATTTCCTCACTATTAGAGACACTTGTATCTAGCAGTTTATGTAATGGTTCCAAACAGTGTGTATAACACATCAAAATTAGCTTTTACCAAGTCCCTTTGTTTATGGAACTAACAGTATTTTTAAAATACTGTATTTTGTTCCCAATACGATAAAATCACCTGATCATGGAAGTTGTTTGACATCTTTCCACATCGGTGTCTGAGCTCATCGATGAGAATGTGACCAGTACTCTATGTATTGGACTTTTAACAAGCTAGCATGCTAAATTCAACACTACATAGGCAAAGAACAGGGGACAGACTACACACAATGGTGACGGGGGCACGACACACACAGAAGACAGCAGCAAGACACATTCAGTGGGACATCAATTCTTTCACATCAAACTGGTAGACCGGTGAGCAGAAAATATGACATACAGTATCCACCAACACATAAAGCAACATTTCAATACATAAGTACTAAGAAATCTCTCAACTTCTATCTAATGGCTGTTGCTTTGATTCTATGACATTGTATTGTACTGTATGTGTTGCTGTGTTTGTGATCTGCACTGGGTTGTGTTCAGACAGAGCGGTGTATTCTGGGTATTATGTTTGGACCTGGGTCATGTTTTGTTTTGTGTTGTGATGACACTCACTCTGACCCTGATGAGTCACCGTCCACTGTCCCCGCCTTGATGCTCATGGCGACACCATTCAGCTGATCTGGTAGGCTGGGCTTGGCCCCGCCCCCTCGGCTCTCACTGGAAGAGGAGCCCTGGGAGGAGGCATGGCCCGGAGCATTCTCCGACAGCTCGTTATGGATGCGGTTGATACTATTTCTCTCTGCAATGGGGGAGAGCTGCTTCTTCTTCAGGATTCCTGAATTTGAAAAGAGATCCTATCATAAATGTTTTCGAAGTTCTGGAAAGCCAACCACTACAAAGATATAGAGTGGAACTAACAACAACATATGGAATGTTGCAGCAGTGTAGATGTTTGGGTTTGTTGCTGACCTTTCTGTGGGTGTGCGTTGAGGTTGGGCAGACTGGGCAGCAGCATCACGTTGTCCTTCCCATAGCCCTCTGCCTTGTCCCCTGGCCTGTCGTCTGGCATGCCTCGGTGGTCCCGGGTCTGGCCCAGTTCAGGGTTGGCCAGAGACTCTACCTTCAGCCTACCTTCTCCCCCCAGGCCCTCACTGTCGCTAGCCGTCGACACATACTCCCCTGGCCAGTACAGCTTACTCAGGTTGTTATCTGGAGAACAACCAGACAACTTTAAGACTACATTTTAAATGCTTGATGCATTACATCATGGTGTAAGTTGTGGTCTTACAAGACCAGAATTGGGTAATTCAGGTCTTATTTATACATGTTTAAGTAAGATTCATAACATTCATGTACTGCTCAGAAGTAGATTTATTTATACCCAGACAATTGTGTACAGTGTAGGTGTAGTCGATTGAAGATTTGTCTGGTCTGTGTGTGATGTTTGGGTGTGGTGTAATGTTTAAGCAGAAGTGTGGGAGCGGTATTATCAAAAGGGTTACTGCATTGGGCTGTGGTCACATACCGCCTGGGTGTGGTCTACTGACAGTGAGGTATTATAGGTGTGAGGTCGTATAGAGTTTATATTGTGTGGGTGACTGGGTGTATTATAGACGTGAGGTCATACCCTGAGGGTGTGGTCTCTTGGACACATTGGATGCCATGCTTTCCCAGCATTCCCCTGGTGGATAGGGCCCCTCCTCCTCGCTGTCAGAGGAGTGTGTGGAGGCGTAAGATCCGCTCTGGTCATCCTCCAGAGACAGGTCACTGTCCGAGTCTGAGTCGTGATCTGTTGTTGCACACACACACACACACAAGTTAAGATGATGACCAATGAGTGTTGTACAGATATACAGTGGGGAAAAAAAGTATTTAGTCAGCCACCAATTGTGCAAGTTCTCCCACTTAAAAAGATGAGAGAGGCCTGTAATTTTCATCATAGGTACACGTCAACTATGACAGACAAATTGAGATTTTTTTTCTCCAGAAAATCACATTGTAGGATTTTTAATGAATTTATTTGCTAATTATGGTGGAAAATAAGTATTTGGTCAATAACAAAAGTTTCTCAATACTTTGTTATATACCCTTTGTTGGCAATGACACAGGTCAAACGTTTTCTGTAAGTCTTCACAAGGTTTTCACACACTGTTGCTGGTATTTTGGCCCATTCCTCCATGCAGATCTCCTCTAGAGCAGTGATGTTTTGGGGCTGTCGCTGGGCAACACGGACTTTCAACTCCCTCCAAAGATTTTCCATGGGGTTGAGATCTGGAGACTGGCTAGGCCACTCCAGGACCTTGAAATGCTTCTTACGAAGCCACTCCTTCGTTGCCCGGGTGGTGTGTTTGGGATCATTGTCATGCTGAAAGACCCAGCCACGTTTCATTTTCAATGCCCTTGCTGATGGAAGGAGGTTTTCACTCAAAATCTCACGATACATGGCCCCATTCATTCTTTCCTTTACACGGATCAGTCGTCCTGGTCCCTTTGCAGAAAAACAGCCCCAAAGCATGTTGTTTCCACCCCCATGCTTCACAGTAGGTATGGTGTTCTTTGGATGCAACTCAGCATTCTTTGTCCTCCAAACACGACGAGTTGGGTTTTTACCAAAAAGTTATATTTTGGTTTCATCTGACCATATGACATTCTCCCAATCCTCTTCTGGATCATCCAAATGCACTCTAGCAAACTTCAGACGGGCCTGGACATGTACTGGCTTAAGCAGGGGGACATGTCTGGCACTGCAGGATTTGAGTCCCTGGCGGCGTAGTGTGTTACTGATGGTAGGCTTTGTTACTTTGGTCCCAGCTCTCTGCAGGTCATTCACTAGGTCCCCCTGTGTGGTTCTGGGATTTTTGCTCACCGTTCTTGTGATCATTTTGACCCTACGGGGTGAGATCTTGCGTGGAGCCCCAGATCGAGGGAGATTATCAGTGGTCTTGTATGTCTTCCATTTCCTAATAATTGCTCCCACAGTTGATTTCTTCAAACCAAGCTGCTTACCTATTGCAGATTCAGTCTTCCCAGCCTGGTGCAGGTCTACAATTTTGTTTCTGGTGTCCTTTGACAGCTCTTTGGTCTTGGCCATAGTGGAGTTTGGAGTGTGACTGTTTGAGGTTGTGGACAGGTGACTTTTATACTGATAACAAGTTCAAACAGGTGCCATTAATACAGGTAACGAGTGGAGGACAGAGGAGCCTCTTAAAGAAGAAGTTACAGGTCTGTGAGAGCCAGAAATCTTGCTTGTTTGTAGGTGACCAAATACTTATTTTCCACCATAATTTGCAAATAAATTCATTAAGAATCCTACAATGTGATTTTCTGGATTTTTTTTTCTCAATTTGTCTGTCATAGTTGACGTGTACCTATGATGAAAATTACAGGCCTCTCTCATATTTTTAAGTGGGAGAACTTGCACAATTGGTGGCTGACTAAATACTTTTTTCCCCCACTGTACATACATTGACCATATGAAATGAATACTCTGTATGCCTCTCTGTGTTTGAGCTATGCACCAAAAGCTGCTAAAGGCAGCCACAGTGATCACAGTGACATTAAAAATGGGAGACCTACCATCTAATTGCTCTTTAGTTTCATGGAAGAGTGAGCCGTGCTCGTTCAGAGCGATGTGTACCTGGCTGTTATTCAGGCCACCATCATCCCTGAAAAACACAACAGGACTTGTAACAGGACAGACAAAGCCTTGCTCTCCTCAATGTAAGTTAGTATGTGGCTTTGAAAGGGCTGTTCTATTTCTATTACAGTACATAATAATGACCATCATAAAACACAAACACTTTCAATTAACTTGTAAAGTACACTTTTCCTAGCACACAATGATGCAGGAGGTCCTAAACAGCGTGTGTCAATGGGGCCTGTTGTGTCCCTCTGTGCTTGCCGTACCTGAGGACAAAGGGGACATAGCTCTGCTGGCTCTTGCCGCTCTGCAGGGTGTCGTTCAGAGACACACTAGAGTCTCCAAACGGCAGGTGGTACAGTCTGCCATCCATGTAGCTGGTGTTACAGTTATATGACTGGGGGAGGAGGAGGAGGAGGAGATGAAGAAAATAGGAGAGGTATAAGTTAGTAGGCAGTAAGTCATCATATCAAATTCTGTTTTATTTGTTTGGTGCTTCAGTTAATGTCCTTAGTAATATAAGTCCAAACCTAAAGGCCATGATGGAGGCCTACAGCTGTGCATGTCTGTACTAGGCCTTGGATGACTGGTGTCCCTATACAGTGAGAGATTTACCGAGGGCTTGGACTTGATCATGTGATCCGGGCGTTTGCGGCTGCAGCAGTAGCGCATGGCGTTCCTCGCCTCCTTGTTGAAGACAATGCGGAAGAAGAAGATGAAGGGACCCTGGGATAGACAGACCAAAGGAAGTCAAACAAAGTCAAACCAATGGAGCAAGGATACTGACAGTCAAACCAGTGTCTTTAATTCCTGGTTTAATTGAGAGAAAAAACAGTGTTTACCTGAAGACAGTTGAATCCAGCAAACAAGTAGTGGAAGATGATCATGTCACTGTTGACTGAGAGTATAGCTAACAGACATGTTACAGTGACCAGGAGGAGAACCCCACATGACGTCCTCAGCCCGGAGCTAGACACAGACAGACAGACACACGTAAGATGATAACATCACAAAGGTTACATTAGGATAAGTGAGTTTTCTGAGGTTAGAGAAATATGTTTTTGACTTTTATGCAATCCATCATGAGCCAACAACAACATCAGCAGCTTCACTCTCCATTCAATGATATAATGCACTCTATTGTGGTCTCTAAAGTGCTGTAGTCATGTACCCTTGGGGTACAACATCATGCCTGTGTTAATGACAGAATGAGTGTAGTATTTATTCAGGCAGCGGCGGGCAGGACACTCACATAGGGGGCTCTTTCTTCTCAAAGCTGTGGTGTCTTATTGAGCAGGATGCTCTGGAGGCCAGGATGTACAGGAAGATGTTCATCTGGAAAACACAAAATATAATTCAACTATATATTACTGTATAACATAAAGGCATACTAATATACAACCCTATCATATAAATATCATACAATACACTGTATTAGAGATCTGACGAGGAGGTGGAGTGTACTCACAGACACCACCATGGCGATGGGCCCTGCCAAGCTCCAGATAAGAGTGTCGTACATGGACAGCCAGCAGAAGTCTGGGTTCCCATAACCCTCTGGGTCCAGTCCAACCGCCAGGCCTGGATGACACAACAACCAAAACACACCAGTAACTATCAAATAGCTACAGTAAGGCTTTCAACCATTCTAATTGGATACAATGACGAGTTGGCATTGTGTAAGTTTGTGTATACAAGCATGCGTCTGTGTGTGGTTAGTGTGTGCATCTGTGTGTGGTTAGTGTGTGCGTCTGTGTGTGGTTAGTGTGTGCATCTGTGTGTGTGTCAAGTTTTTGTCACGTGTACTAGTACAGTGAAATGCCTTTCTTTCTTGCTCCTTCCCAACAATGCATTAATCAATATCAGTAGTACTATAAAAATAATAAAGTCAAGTAGAACAAAACAAGAAATATAAATGGGAAGAACACGAGAAAGTAAGTAAGCTATTTGCAGGGCCAGTTCCAGGGTCAGTGCCAATACCATATTTACAATGTGCAGGGATACTGGAGTGGTAGGGTTAGATATGTATAGGGGTAAGGTGACTAGGCATCAGGATATATGATAAACAGAGTAACAGCAGCGGATATGATTGTATGCGAGTGTGTGTGTGTGTGTGTGTAGAGTCAGTATGAATGTTTGTGCGTGTAATGTGTGTGTGAGCAAAGTGTGTGTGTGTTGGAGTGTGAGTGTGTAGAATATGCCTAGAGTGAGTGTGTATAGACAGTGCAAAAATATAAATAAAATAGAAGAAGAGCAGATAGTTTGTGTAGCTATTTAGCAGTCTTATGGCTATTCAGGACCCTGTTGGTGTCAGACTTGATACACCGGTATCGCTTGCCGTGCGGAAGCAGAGAGAACAGTTTATGGCTTGGGTGGCTGGAGTCTAACAATTTTCTGGACCTTCCTTTCACACCGCCTGATATAGAGGTCCTGGATAGCAGGGAGCTCAGCCCCAGTGATGTACTGGGCCGTACGCACTACCCTCTGTAACGCCATGTGATCGAGGGTGGTGCTGTTGCCATACCAGGCAGTGATGCAGCCAGTCAAGATGCTCTCCATGGTGCAGCTGTATAACCTTTTGAGGATCTGAGGGACCATGCCAAATCTTTTCAACCTCCTGAGGGGGAAGAGGCGTTGTCGCACCTTCTTCACAACTGTTTGCGTGTGTGTGGACCATTTTAAGTCCTTAGTGATTTGGACACCGAGGAACTTGAAGCTCTCGACACGCTCCGCTGCAGCCCCATCGATGTGGATAGGGACGTGCACGCCCCCGTTTCCTGTAGTCCACGATCAGTTCCTTGGTCTTACTGACATTGAAGGAGAGGTTGTTATCCCGGCACCACACTGCCATCACTGATCTCCTCCCTGTAGGCTGTCTAATCGTCGCCAGTAATTAGGACTATGACAGTCGTGTCGTCAGCAAACTTGATAATGGTGTTGGAGTCGTGCATGGCCATGTTGCCTACCCTCACCACCTGGGGTCGGTCCATCCGTGTGTGTGTGTGTGTGTGTGTGTGTGTGTAAGGATGTGTGTATTGTTCAGACCTGTGATGAAGGCAGGGACGCCCCAGCCGACCATGTAGTAGAAGCGCATGGGTCCGTAGTTGATGTCTCGTATTTCGCTCAGCATGCGGTAGACGTGCAGGCCCTCCAGGAAGAGCCAGGAGAAGGTGCACAGGTAGAAGAAATGCAGCAGGATAGCGATGACTGTGCACACAAACTACAGACACAGGGAGAGAGAGAGGGCGAGATACAGAGAGAGGGGGGGAGAGAGATACAGAGAGAGGGGGGAGAGGGGGAGAGAGAGAGAGAGAGAGGGGGGGGAGAGAGAGAGAGAGAGAGGGGGAGGGGGGGGAGAGAGAGAGAAAGGAATTATTATACTGTATATGACAGGGCTCAAAGTGGGCAGAATGCTTTGATTACTTTTTCCTTTGTTTTGATCAGATCCATATGTCAGACACCTATTCCAAATAGATGAGAGGGAAGGTAGGATATTGAAAGTGGTGTGCTGAACCGAGTTAGAGAGTGACAGGAGGTAAAATACAGTATTAAAGGTAGACAGAGAATAACTTTGTTCCAGTAGTTTACCTGGTTGTCTGCCAGGTTAATGCCCAGGATGAAGATGAGTTCGGAGATGAAGAGGGCGGTGGCTCCGTTGTTGATGATGCTGGTCTTGTTGCAGTGCATGGCCCGCAGGCAGAGGAGGAAGAGAGTGGTGAGGAAGAGGAAGCCCAGGGTCACGCCCACCGTGCTCCACGTCACCAGCTTCACCGGCAGGATCTCACCGTTCTGAGAAGGAAGAGAGGAAGAGGAAGAGGAAGGTGGAGGAAAAGTTTAAGAAGAGCTTTGTTTGGTCATTATAGTGAACAAGACCACTATAGGGTGTGGTCTGAGGTGCATTGATGTTTCCGAGTGAGGTTTATAAAGTGAAGTCTAGAATCGTACAGCATATATGAAAATGTATGCACTCACTAACTGTAAGTCGCTCTGGATAAGAGCGTCTGCTAAATGACTAAAGTGTAAAAAATGTACAAATATAGTGTAGTTCTGTCTAGTGTTGTGTGTGTTGTGTAGTGGTGTGGCCTCGCTCACCTCTCTCCTAGAGATGTCCATGAGAACAGCAAAGCTGGTCATGTGGTAACACTGGCAGCTGATGTGAGTGTTGTTCCTGAACACCACCTCACAGCCTTTGGCTGACCAGCCTCCGTTCCCCGCTCTGACAAACAACAAAAACAACAGTCAAACAATGCAATGATGGATTATTTGGTTTCAACCTAATCCTTTATATAACTTTTTTTAAATCTTTGTTTCTACAGCTCAAAGTTCAAATAGCTAGTGTGTGTGTGTGTGTGTGTGTGTGTGTGTGTGTAAAACTCACAGTATGGAGTGGTTCCAGAAGACACAGATGGGTTTGGAGCGCTCCTCGGTGGTGACCATGCGGAACTGCACAGTGATTGGTTTGTCCAGGGTGTGCTGCAGCAGTTCCTCGTTGTCATGGACCGTGATGCTGACCACCGGGGTGTTGATGACTGGACGCTTGGGCACTCTGGTGGACGTCACACAAAACCATCACTAAATAATACTTCAACAGGAACCTTGCTGCTGCTCTTCCACTTTCTCTTCCTCCTCATCAATTATTTTATCCAACTCCAAATTGGCCCCTAACCCCTAGACCCTCCATACTCAACTGACAGACCACGGTATGGATCCAGACCCAGAAGGGGTCAATTACGGATCACGAGTACAGGCTACTTTATTTATTAGGAACTTGGTCGGGCTTCGACCCCTGGTATCATATAAACACACATAAGACATGGAAAAATGTGTCAATTGCAGGAAATTATCTTCAAAACTGCAACATTTTCTCTCCGCTAACAAGAGGGGTGTGAAAAGTTTGGGGTTGGCATGGGTTGCGAGGTGGTGGTTTGTTACTACGACGATAAAATATCCATCTGGTCCTTCTGGCAATTTGTGTGACCAGACCTTCTCAAACAGTACTTGTGTACCCCTGCCTTAGACCTTTGTGTAGATCTGAAAGGATCAGCAATATAGCAGAAATACCACTGGAAAAAGGAACATATTACTAGTATGTATCCAATTAAATCTATGTGAAGTATCTAGAGGTAGGAGGCTAGGGGTCATATGGAATCAGGTCCCTGTCTCCCTCGGTCTCACCTCAGACTCCTCTTATCAGGGTCGTAGCTCGCAGGCAGTAGCGAGGCCAGGCTGTGGAAGATGATCACACTAGCGATGGCCTCCTGCTCAGGGTCGTCAGGACCTCGATGTCGCCTCTTCCTGTTGGACGTGTGGTTTCTCACAGAGGATTCTGGGAAGGTGTCCAGTTGGCGGTGGCCCTTGGTCTCCATGGGCGGCTCGAAGACGGAGTCGGGGAGGGTGACGGCCGTCTCCTGATCCTGAGGCCTCAGCCCTCTCAGAGACTGGTAGCGAGGGAGCTTGGCTCCGGCAAAGTTCATCTTCTGGAGACGATCTATTGAGATGACTGTGGAGAACACCAAACACAGGTAGGGTAGGTTAGACATCAGACAAACCACTACAAAGAGATAGATGGCTAGATGTTCAGTTCTTGAATCCTACAACTCTCATAGAAGAAGAATTAACAAATATTTTCCAACTGATAAACAGTCTACATCAGGGCTCTCCAACCCTGTTCCTGGAGAGCTACCCACCTGTAAGTTTTCACTCCAACCCCAGCTGTAACTAACCTGATTCAGCTTATCAACCAGCTCTCCAGGAACAGGGTTGGAGAGCCCAGGTCTACATCATATTGTGTGTTTCTGTCCAACATATCGTTTATACCTAGTGTAAACCAAAGTAGACCACACTCACCTATGTGTGGGGTGACAATGGTGAAGGGGCTGAGGTAGGTCTTCCTCATGTTCTGTGCCAGGGTGTTGGCGTACTCCTCATACTGGTGCAGCAGGGCCGCCGTGCCCCCCTCAGTCTGCTGGATCAGCTCCCAGTGTGGCTGTGTGCCCGGGGACAGGATGGCACTGCCCACCCGCACCAGGTTCTGATATGGGGAGGAGGGCAGGGGGTCAGAGAGACAGACTGGCATAGGGTTGTGTGAGGCAAGTGTTGTGTTCTGTTCAGTTACCTACAGAGTTTATCTGAGATGCATGTTGTACTGTCATGTGCAGAGGAGGCTGGTGGGAGGAGCTATAGGAGGACGGGCTCATTGTAATGGCTGGAATGGAATTAATGGAACGGAGTCAAACATTTGGTTTCCATATGTTTGATGTGGTTGATACCGTTCCATTATACAATCCAGCCATTACAATGAGCCTTTCCTCCTAAACTCCTCCCACCAGCCTCCTCTGGTCATGTGAATTCAACTGTGTTGCGCTGCCATGTGTTGCCTTATGCTGCACTGCAGGTAGTGTGTTACACTCTGCAGCATTGTGTTGTGCTGCGTAGTGTTGTGTGTTATTGTGTTACCTCAGTGAAGTGGACGTCCTGGGTGGCGGTCAGGCTGAAGCCCTGCTGGTTGCTCTCGTACTGCAGTAGGCTCTGGGTGAGGCGGTAGGCCACCTTCACATCACTGCCATAGTACTCCACCGTGTGCAGCGTGGCGTTGGCCAACATGGCTGCCATCTGCTGGACCCGCCCAGAGTCCAGGAGAGACACGTTACGGGCAAGCTTTTCCGACTGGACCAGGGAGAGAGAGAACAGTCTTATAGCACCATTTTATATATAGTATTTTGTCAATTGTGTATATGCAGGACTCCCTTGTAAAAGCGACCTTGGTCTCAATGGTGACTAAAATAAAGGTAAAATAAAAAGCCCTAACTAAATCAGTTCATCATTCAACTTAATAGCATATGTCATTGAAGTGAATGGATCCATATAAATGTGAGCTGATGAGGTGTAAATGAGTCTAGCTCTAGAGGAGCTGTACACACCAGGGCCTTGAGTTTGGTGAAGGTGACAGAGGTACAGTTGAAGAGGTTGGGGGGCAGCCATCCCTTGTGTTCGTCACAGTGGCGAATAGCAGTGCCTGAGAGAGAAATGGGAGAAGGGGGAAATGTGCATGAGGCAGACAAAAGGAAAGGAACATGCTGGAAGAACCCGAGGCAAGTTTAAACCAATTCCATTATATTATGGTGATTATAGTACATAGTATAGTATATTCCATTATAGTATGGTAATTAGCTAAGTCGCTGAGAGTCATCGTACCGATAGATCCCTTGGGACAGGGGACTGCTGCAGGGAGACCAAACTTAGTCCTGGGCCACCAGATCCCTGCCTCTATTGCCTGGGGACAACTGTCATAGATCACTGAGCGAGAAAGAGAGGGAGAGAGATAGGGAGAGGGAGAGAGGGGGAGAGGGATAGGGAGAGGGAGAGAGGGGGAGAGAGATAGGGAGAGGGAGAGAGAGGGAGAGAGATAGGGAGATGGAGAGAGAGGGAGAGAGATAGGGAGAGAGAGAGGGGGAGAGTGATGGGGAGAGGGAGAGAGGGGGAGAGAGATAGGGAGAGAGAGAGAGATGGGGAGGGAGAGAGGGGGAGAGAGAGAGGGGGAGAGAGAGAGATAGGGAGAGGGAGAGAGGGGGAGAGAGATAGGGAGAGCGAGAGAGAGGAGGTAGAGCAGGAGAGCTGATAAAATTAATTGTCCAGGTGTAACTGTACACATGACATAGAATTAATGAATAATGTTTGTTGGCAAAAAACACTTTTTAAAAGGCCATCTAATCACATTAATTTACTAAATCAGTGTACTAAATGAATCAGTCTGGACTACAGATACATTTCTGAAGCATGTGACATTTGGTAATTATTTACTGTCATGTGACGTATGGTAATGCTGACCTTCGCAGCCGTTGGGCGACACCTCAGCGAAGGGGTTGTCACAGTGGTCACACTGGCGCCCGATGACCCCTGGCTTACACTGGCACTGCCCGCTCTCCCTCTCACACGCCCGTGAGAAGGAGCCCACTGGGTAACACTCACACAACAGACACGCCTCGCTGCCCTCTGGACGGTAGTGGTTATCCTGAGAGCAGGGAGAGAGGGATAGCGAGAGGGATAGCGTGAGAGATAGAGAGATAGAGGGGGAGGGAAAAGAAAAGGGAGGGAGGAAAGGGGATGAAAGAGAGAGAAGTACATTTTCCTTGTCATTGAAATACCAGCCCACAGTGCAGTTTCACCCATCGCCCCTGTCCACTTCAAACATCCTGACATTGAGACTCAGTAGTCAGCTGGCTCACCTTACAGCGGCACTCGCCGCTGGTCTTGTTGCAGTTGGCATCGAAGCCCTTATCTGCCTGACAGTCACAGGGACCACAGGTCTTATGTCCCCACCAACCCCTGGGACAAGGCAGGTCAGTCCTGAGGAGGGACAGACATGGTCAGAAACACAACCGATACACAGAGACACATTCTGATAGTGTTCTTTTTTAAATTATTATTATTTACCTCCTTTTTCGCCCCAATTTTATGATTACGATCTCGTCTCATCGCTGCAACTCCCCAACGGGCTCGGGAGAGGCAAAGGTCGAGTCATGCGTCCCCCGAAACATGACCCGCCAAGCCGCGCTTCTTAACACCCGCTCGCTTAACCCGGAAGCCAGCTGCACCAATGTGTCAGAGGAAACACCGTTCAACTGACGACGAAGTCAGCCTGCAGGTGCCCGGCCCGCCACAAGGAGTTGCTAGAGCGCGATGAGCCAAGTAAAGCCCCCCCAGACAAACCCTCCCCTAACCCAGACGACGCTGGGCCAATTGTGCGCCGCCCTATGGGACTCCCGGTCACAGCCGGTTGTGACACAGCCTGGGATCGAACTCCAGGCTGTAATGATGCCGCAACCCTGCGATGCAGTGCCTTAGACCGCTGCGCCACTCGGGAGGCCCACTGATAGTGTTCTTTATAGTGATGTGGACCAAAAACATAAGATTGAGACAAAAACACAAAACTATCTGTGTATACCAAAGATTAAGACATTTTACTAACTTCTTCTCGCAATACTGGCCAAAGTGGTTGCTGGGACAGTCACAGGTGTAGCCGCGGAAGGAGCTAGCCTTCCTGGTGCAAGCTGATTGATGCTCGCAGGGGTTTAGCGCACATACGTCTGTGCAGTTATCGCCATAGTAACCTGACAGATAAACAACACAATAGGAATTCATAAGTTATGCCTGGGAGGGATCAACGCAAGTCTATATGGTCATTTATAAACTGGGTGGTTTAAGCCCTGAATGCTTATTGGCTGACAGCCGTGGTATATTAGACTGTATGCCACAGGTATGACAAAACATTTATTTTTACTGCTCTAATTACGTTGGTAACCAGTTTATAATAGCAATAAGGCACCTCCTCTGGCATTATTGCTTAAATAATATGGTTGTAAAATCTAATGATGAGGATGATGAAGATAACGATGATGATAGTGGTTGGCAGACTGACCGGTGAGGCAGGTGCAGGAGTGGCTGTCCCAGTCATCGCTGCAGTAGCTGTTGGAGGGGCAGGGGTTAGAGACACAGGGGTCTGGTACGCTGCAGCCCTGCTCCATGTTCACCCTCCTGGCCTGAGACAGGCTGAGAGACACCGAGCTGGAGGTCTCCCCCATACGCAGACCCTGAGGAACACACAGTAGGGAGAACACACTCAGACACATGGACATATAATACAGTATGTGTGTGTGTTGTCTGTGTGTGCGTGCGTGTGTGTGTGACAAGAGGTGAACTGACCTGCATACAGCCGCGGAAGCCATGCTGTATTTTCCCATCAGCCCCAGTGATGCCCCCGACACTCAGAGTCTTGACCTTCGCCCCTTTCAGCTTAGTATCCACCTCCATGCTGGCCTGGATTGGTAGATCAGATCACACACATTAGATACATTCATATACACTGGCTGTCTACATACTGGCCTAAGTAGATAACACTATATTATAACTGCCCTGTATACATGCATATTTCAATGTAATTAAAATACCAAACCTACAGTCTGTCTTCTAACAGTGTCTCACCGTATAGAGGCCATGATCAAAGGAGAGCACAGCCTTGTGGCGGGGCGCGCCCCCCGGGACATCTTTCAGCTCCAGCTGCAGATGGTGCCAGTCCCCGTCATTCACTGTCACCTCCTCTACCTGAGACAGGGTGGAGTCCTCGCCCCTCTGCAGGCCCATCACCACACTGCCACCGCGCAGCTAGGGGAGGGAGAGAGAGAGGGTCGGGAGACGATAGGATAGAGAGATATGTGGGAGAGGATGGGATAGAATGAGAGACGTGGGGCAAAGGATGGGAGAGAGAGGGGGATGGGAAGAGAGAGGGACGGGATGGGAAGAGAGAGGGAGGGCAGGAGAGAGAGCGAAATACCTTCTTTAGTATGCATACATCACATGCTCACGGAGACAGAGCGTTTCTTCTCCTCATCCATATCAGATCATCTATGGTAATACAGTAGCTATAAAAATAGCCCTGTTTATTTTTTTTATAGCTGCTGGACTGTTATACAACTTCAAAATAGGCACCTGTCTAGACAAACAGCTGCTCTCTGAAAGGCCTGGAAATGGCAGCTCTCATATCTCGGGATGAGGCGTTTGTTAGTTGGCAGGCTTCATCTCAACATCATCAAATATTTAAAGTCATGCTGCTGCCCAGACAGCCAACAGGTGGAGCTTTACGTCAACTAACCCATGGTCACTCTGTGAGCTGTTGGAGTCATGCTGGAGTTACATGCTACAATGCACTAATCTATTCCAACACTATACTGAGGGGGGAAACACATGCATAATCTGATGCGAAATAAGCAAAAGGAATTCCTATCAAAACTATTGGCTATGTTTGGCCATATCTTTGCTTCAGAAGGGATCAAATCCTGTATAATATGTATGATACTGTGCGTAATGACATATGATGTGGCCTACAGTGGCCTGTAGTAAACACCTTTGCACCTGTGAGGTGTATTTGCAGTGCTGCTCCGTATTGTTGGGTAATGCTATTGAAGGTGTGTGAATATGCCAGATTGAGTGTGGGTAAGACTGTGTAGGGTGAGGTTGTGTGGAGTGAGTGTGTTTTCTCTGTGTGGAGTGAGAGTGTGTTTTCTCTGTACCTGTAGGATGAGGTTGTGTGGAGTGAGTGTGTTTTCTCTGTGTGGAGTGAGAGTGTGTTTTCTCTGTACCTGTAGGATGAGGTTGTGTGGAGTGAGAGTGTGTTTTCTCTGTACCTGTAGGATGAGGTTGTGTGGAGTGAGAGTGTGTTTTCTCTGTACCTGTAGGATGAGGTTGTGTGGAGTGAGAGTGTGTTTTCTCTGTACCTGTAGGATGAGGTTGTGTGGAGCGAGAGTGTGTTTTCTCTGTACCTGTAGGATGAGGTTGTGTGGTGTGAGAGTGTGTTTTCTCTGTACCTGTAGGATGAGGTTGTGTGGAGTGAGAGTGTGTTTTCTCTGTACCTGTAGGATGAGGATGAGGTGGAGTGAGAGTGTGTTTTCTCTGTACCTGTAGGGTGAGGTTGTGGTGCTGTCCGGCGGTGAGGTGCAGCAGGGTGGCACTAGGCTGGCGCGTGCGGAACATGAGCTCCACGTGCCACGGCACAGTGACCACTGCCACCAGGTTAGTCCACTGCAATAGGCTGTTACCCAGGAAACGCTGCGGGTTGGCCATCACTGCAACACACACAACCAGAGAGAGGGGGATGAGGGAGGCAGATAGAAAGAGAGGGAGAGAGGAAAGTAAGGAGAGAGCGGGAAGTGTGAGAAAGAGAGAGATATAAATGGAAAGAGAGAGAGAGAAGCTGAGAGAGAGGAGAGAGAGAGAGAGAGAGAGAGAGGGAGAGAGAGAGAGGAGGAGAGGAGAGAGAGAGAGGAGAGAGAGAGAGAGGAGAGAGAGAGAGGAGAGAGAGGAGAGAGAGAGAGAGGAGAGAGAGAGAGAGAGAGAGAGAACGAGGAAATGGCTGCTAACAAACAGTAGGTGACATGTGACAGTGAGTCATTAACACTCTCACAGTAATATGTTCTGTGATCAAGTCTGAACAACCCAGCTCCAATTACTGGTCAGGGGACTATAGACAATCTATGACGACTACAGGAAAAAATAAGCGGCAGACAAAGACAGCAGGACTATACGTTACATCTAACCTTACGGAAAAACTCTTTAAGACGTCAATGGAATGAAAGCCTTGGCACTCGCTATGTGGGTATAAAATAGTATGTGTGGCAATTTGAAACTAGATACCCCCTGAATAAATACTGTTCATAGACAGAGCCAAATACCAGAGAGGCTTCAACATGCCCCCTACCCCTATTCACTAGTACTAGGCTAGACAACGCTCAGGGGTGTGGTGTGTATTCACATGTATGTGTCTGTGTATTCGACATGCAGTCTGTGCATTCTGAAGACAGGCATTCTGGCAGAGAGGCACTAGTGACACTTTTAGCTGGGTGTTAGACATGTTTTTTCTCTCTCTCATTACACTGTGGCAGAGATGCATAATGCATAATTAATGACACAAATCAAGCCTGTCATTGGAACTAGAGAGAGAGTGAGGGAGAAAGAGAGAGGGAGAGAAAAAGAGAAACAGAGGACCCAGGGGATAGTGGCTGTGGTGCAGTCTGGCACTGGTCTAACGCTACAAAAAAATTGTCAACTGAATCTCATGAAGAGGTTGATACACTGAGTGTACAAAACATTAAGCACACCTTCCTAATATTGAGTTGCACACCCCCCTTTTGCCCTCAGAACAGCCTCAATTCGTCGGGGCATGGACTCTACAAGGTGTCGAAAGCGTTCCACAGGGATGCTGGCCCATGTTGAGTGCAATGCTTTCCACAGTTGTGTCAGCGTTTCAGTTCTTGACACAAACCGGTGCGCCTGGCACCTACTACCATACCCCTTTTAAAGGCACTTAAATATTTTGTCTTGCCCATTCACCCTCTGAATGGCACACATACACAATCCATGTCTCAATTATCTCAAGGTTGAAAAAAACAAATGTAACCTGTCTCCTCCCCTTCATCTACACTGATTGAAGTGGCGGCAGGTAGCTTAGTGGTTAAGAGCGGTGTGCCAGTAACCGAAAGGTCGCTGGTTCTAATCCCCGAGCCGACTAGGTGAAAAATCGGTCAATGTGCCCTTGAGCAAGGCACTTAACCCTAATTGCTCCTGTAAGTCGCTCTGGATAAGAGCGTCTGCTAAATGACAAAAAAAATAAAAATAATAATAATTGCATCAATAAGGGATCATAGCTTTTACCTGGATTCACCTGGTCAGTCTGTCATGGAAAGAGCAGGTGTTCATAATGTTTTGTACACTTAGTTTCTATTTGCAGTGTGTTTGGTCTGAACAGGGTCCATATAAAAAGGTAGGCATACTCATGGGATTGACAATGAAAGTTTTTTATCCCCCATACCCTTGTCCATCCAGAGTCAGTAGTGAACAAGTGAGATGCTGGGGATTTTCTCCATGGTTACTAGCTGTTATACCCTCTCTAACCCCTGATGTCCGATCCTATGACATACTGTAAGTTTAACAGCAATATTTTTATAGTGACCTTTGTTGAATAGTTAATGGTCTTGGTAGAACATGAACATTCATGCCACCGACACCCACTATCTAGATTAAAGATCAGTAGCACAGTATTAGACTACACTATGTTTTCCTCTTTCCCTTCCGCTCTCCCTCTCTTCTTGAGATGAAGGAGTCACATGGGTTCATCTGCCTCAGAGAGGGAGATTAACCCTTCTCCCATCCCCCGTTCATCATCCATCCTCAGTCTCCCCTTAACTGTGAGAAAGAAGTGGTCCTTTATCACTGGATTTCACTCTAAACTACAACAGGGATGCTTTTGTGTAATTTACCATTTATTGAGTAGTATCCCCTTTTCTCTTCTCCCTCCCATGGGGCCTTTTCCCCCTCTCTCCCTCCCGTCTCCCTCCCATCTCCATCTCTCTCTCTTCAAGCCATCCCAGCATGTAAATCAGCAAGTCAAACAACTGCAGAGCACAGAAGAGCTGAGAAGAGAAATGGACACTAGTAATGCTCTAACACACACATGCCTCTCTCAAACTGAAAAACTAAATACTTTACCGTAAACATGTCCAAGGTGTTATTCCAGAGAACATGTTTAAAAATATAGCTCTATTAAATGTGACATGATCCCTCATGACAGATTCATAAACGCCTATGGCATATCACATCGCATATGTCATATTGTATACACATATGGGACCCTCACAAACCCTTGTGTAATGTCTGGCATAAAACAGCAATACTCAGTATTAGTATTTATTAGGATCCCCAATTAGCTGCTGCCGAGGCAGCGGCTACTCCTCCTGGGTCCAAACAGGAAACACAACAAATAAAATACAGTGCACAACAGGTAACGTTATGCTTTTGAAACCATCATGTCAGCAAATAAATGATGACTGGCTTTATCTGTGCCAGGAAAGAGTGCTAAAATGATGAGGACATATTTCAACACTCTGCTGATTGAAGAGCCTACTTCAGCTTTTTAAAGCCCTGCCAATTCCCTCTAAGCATCACCCTGAGCAATCTCCTCTGCATGGTGTCTATGCAAATGTTTCCCCACTACATTTACACTGTACACTCAAAAAGGCATGTTTCAAAATGATAAGAAAATACAATATAGCAGAAGCTCTTTTAACACTGCAGCACTAAGAAGCAAATTAAATGGCCAGTGTCACTGTAACCACTTGGTTGTTGAGTTATAGTACAGTCCATCAACTACAAAGACCCTAGTTAAGTGTAGGTCAGGAGAGCTGGGGGATGTCTGTCTGTCTGATGGGTCACTTAGTAGTCTACTCTTAATGCACGCCTGTAAAGTCCTTGTACCTCTTTACTAAAAGGGCCTATAATGGTAGGTCATGGGACAACAAAACCTGGTTAGCTTCGATCTCATGTTTTAACCATTTGAGGAAGCTTTCCAACCTCCTGCAATGCCGTTACTTCACTGAACTTCACTTACCCTTCTCGCAGTTCCGGCCTCCAAATCCTAGGGGGCAGTCACAGCTGAAGGAGCCCCACAGGTTGACGCAGGTCCCTCCGTTCAGACATGGGTTGTTGATGCAGAAGTGCCTTTTAGCAGAGCATCCTGGGAAGTTAAAGACATCTGAGGAACAGTTCAAGCCAACCTCATTATGCTAAGAGGTAATAAATTATTCATACATCAGGTAAAACTTAAGGTACATTTACTTCCCCAACATATCTCATACTGGGCTCAACTAAGACAGTAGGGTAGGGAGGATGGCTATAAAACGGTCGCAGAATAGTTCAGTCAAATGGCAATGTGTAAGGTTACTAACCTGGTAGCGTGCCGTTGTTAGCGATGAAGCTAGCCATGTCGATGTGGCGGTTGTCGATCTTCAGGTCCTTCATGCAGCCCACAAACTGGCGGTTCTGGATGGGGAAGTCCTCAGGCAGTTTGGGCACGCCCCCCAGGAGGAGAGGACCAGTCAGATCCAGAGATCTACAGCAGAAAGACAGGACAGTCAGGCACATTTAGAATCTGTCACTGAGCTCTGCTTCTATACCACAACACATTATAAACACTGAGCTCTGCTTCTATACCACAACACAACCCACTGGAATGGCGTTTATGAAATATTTATCAGTGTCACATTTTGCAGCTTGTTTTTTTCCCAGGGAGGAAAACAGATACACCCCACTGAACTAAAATATGTTTACGATGGTTTACAAGCTGGACGTGACAGACTTTAGTTTAAAAAAGTATAATCTGTACCATAATGAGAGCCCTGTTTTGCTCAGGAAAGCCAATTGGGATTTCGACAATAGTACAATAGATCAAGAGGGTAAGTTCAGCTTGTGACAAAATGCTAAAACTGAATTAATGGCTTCAAAAGGCTAATTATGCATTTACTCAACTCTACTATAATTGCAATTGTTGGCCAATAACAGTGCACAATGAAATACCAGTAAGCCCCTCCCATTCCCTTACTTTTTGGATCCTGATTGGCTGCCCTGGGCAGAGCAGGTGTAGTTCCCAATTACATGACCAAATCGCAGTGCCACTGAGGTGTCACAGTTGTCCACGGTTACTACGACGACCTTCTGGTCAGAGGGACCCTGGGGCATGCCGGCCTGGTTTAGGATTGGCTGTGAGGAGAGAAGAGGAGTTGTTGAGTTTGGCTCCAGTGTTATGGACAGAACACCTACAACAGATGGGGGGGGGGGGGGGGGGGGGGGAATCACCTGACAGACTACTGTAAATAGCAGCACATGGGTGATAGGACTTTCTAAACAGAACAGCATTTATAAGTTATGCTATTCCTTCCTAAATAGGCAATACTGTTTGGGAAGAAGGTGGACATATATACAGTATGTAGTGTTTGGTTATGGATGGCTAGATAGATTGAGAGGCTATAATGAGCCTTCTGGGACTGTTCAGAGGATTCTTTGAAAATAAAATCACAGGTACATCTCAAGGACTGCTTGATGCAAAAAATATGCTGAGACTCAAGGTTTCTTCTTCAAGTTACAAAAGACAACATTCAAGAAAAGAAATGGAAGTAAATGTGTGGAAGTTTATTTTTGTCTCCGAATATCCATTTTATTGTTTGTGTGTGTCACTGTCAAGCATTTTTGGTTGCTCAGCACATAAATAGATTGCTTGTCTGTGTGTGGGTAGCTTATTACACATGAAGTTGTGCCACACATCTCAGTATATAAGTGTGATCATAACCAAATCTGTCTAACAAGGTGTCAAAAACCTGGTAATCACACTTCTATTTCGAATGCAAAATACTAAGCGTAAAAACTAGCATAAAAAATAAAAACCGCTCACCATCTACTTAGTCATTGAAACATTCACCCTAGAGATAAGGATCTTAAATCAAGTGCTTCAATTAACAACAAAAGACTTGAAACAATTTCACACATCCCAACAATTTAAGAAGCTTTAACAATCCTAATAAAAAGTTTGAGTCAATTCTGAAGAAATATTCAGCCATTAGCTTTCATGTTCAGCCCTACAGTATTCTTGAACATCACCCCAATTTATCTCAATGTTTTCAGTGCTTCAATAACTTAAAGCCAAACAGGCATGATTCAAGTCAAAGGCTGACACATAACCAAAAGCACAAGGGGCACAGACGCACACACACACGGCAGAAAAGCCCTGCTCAACAGGACAGTGATGGTCTTCTTCAGCATAAAGGATCTCTTTCATTGTGTGAGGAATCAATGGAGGGAGAAACAAGAGGAGGAGGGGAGAATAACGATCCCGTCAATAAAGGTTACAACCTCTTTTCAAACACAAGCGTTTCCCCAGAGGTCACACAGAGCTCATATTGACCGTCAGCCCGGTTAGAGCTTGTGTCAGCAGTGGCTAGGCTAGCAGCACTGTAATGAGAGGGGTAACCACCACTGACCACCCTCCCACTGTTAACTGACCAGGCCTGGGCACTGAACTATGGACAGAGCAAATAGGAATAGTCTCCATGTGCAGTGTGGTCTAGTGCTGAGTGATTAAATGAAATGTCGGTTCTTTTTTGTTTTTTAAACAACTAATTGACCAACATCGGTTCAATTATTTGAATTCCATTACATTTTTTCTGTGAGCTCAAAGCACAGTTTCTTTAGAGAGAAATCAGATCAAGCCTGAACTGTGTGATGTAGAAGGGAGTTGTAGTTTCCAACAGGCCAATATTCTACATAGTTTAGTGCAGAAAACCGCCTACATGTCCTCTCTATGTGGATCAGACACAGAGGGAGAGAAGAGATGGAAGAACGTGCGATTGAGATGGTTTGCCTTATTTACTATGAAGAACTACTAAAATAGTGATTTTGTCAGACAGCATAGGCAGCAGCTCTATAGAGATGAGATGATAACTTGGAATGAAATAGCCTAATAAGTCATCAACTGAAATATTTTATTTAAGTAAAGTAATGTGAATAAATGATAATCAATGATAAGCAGTAATGGACAGTCACTACCATCATGGGACTTTTAATTGTTTTATTCTGTGTTGTTACAGCATTCAACCCACATTTTAATGTTAATTTATTTTATCGAAACCTAAATCAAACCAACCTCAAATATCAAATAAAATTTTATTTGCCACATGCACCGAATACAACAGGTGTAGACATTACAGTGAAATGCTTACTTACAAGCCCTTAACCAACAATGCCGTTTTTTAAATAAATAAAAAATAAAAAAAATTAAGCAAATAACTAAAGAGCAGCAGTAAAATAAAATAACAGTAGGGAGGCTATATACAGGGGGTACCGGTACAGAGTCAATGTGCTGGGGCACCGGCTAGTCAAGGTAATTGAGGTAATATGTACATGTAGGTAGAGTTATTAAAGTGACTATGCATAGATAATAAACAGAGTAGCAGCAGCGTAAAAGAGGTGTGGGGGGAGCAGTGCAAATAGTCCGGGTAGCCATGATTAGCTGTTCAGGAGACTTATGGCTTGGGGGTAGAAGCTGTTAAGAAGCCTTTTGGACCTAGACTTGGCGCTCCGGTACCGCTTGCCGTGCGGTAGCAGAGAGAACAGTATGACTAGGGTGGCTGGAGTCTGACAATTTTTAGGGCCTTCCTCTGACACCGCCTGGTATAGAGGTCCTGGATGGCAGGAAGCTTGGCCCCAGTGATGTACTGGGCCGTACGTACTACCCTCTGTAGCACTATCCTCTGTAACACTAATCGCACAGCACTAGCGTGGGATACAAGGAGGATATGATGATGCTCTGTCCTGGGTGGCCTGATTGTTGAGAGCTGAGGAATGCATGTGATTGTGATATTTAAAAAAAAAAAATCTTAACAAAAAGTTAATTAGCTAATTTTATTCATAGCATAAGATAACAATTAACATAAGTTACACTTATGATTTGTCTACATATCCCTGCAGAGCCATAATAACTGTCTGAGCCCTTTAATCAAATGGGGCTAAGAATACAGACCAGACAAATGGAGTATAGGTGGACCTTACACACACAGACACTGCTGGCATAACGCATCTAGCCAGCTGTAATATTGTAGGTCATAACAGAGTCCCATCCCATTTCTCGAGAGCACTGCAGACACAGAACATCTCCCTCACATGGTTCTCATTCCAACCCTGTATCCTATCCAGTGAGTAGATTAGATTATATCTGTGCGTGCAGCGTGCTATTAATACAGCTGTCCCATTGAGGGGCTGTCTGTGAGGAGCTGAATACTGGAGGAGCTCATTGTGGGTCTTGTGATCACGGTCGTCTGCCTCTGAGAGGATGGAGACTTAATTACATTGTTCCACTGCACTGATCAAATATTAGCCATCCTCTTTAAACACCTCATATGTCTCCCATTAGGCATTAGAGGTTGACCTTATTATCATATCTAATAACTGGCAAATAGGATTATTTGCTTTGCTGATTTGAGTCTGAAATACGTGCAGATTATTATTCACAACAAACCGGCTACTAGAAAGGTAGAAAGAACCTCTAAACCTTCCATTCACAAATTGTTGACCAAAAGGTCTTCATCCTTTAGTTGACCCATTGTGAGGCAGTGGGAAACTAATTTGTTGGGACAAACAAACCTGGAGTGTGAGATGGTCTGTTAGAATGGTCACAAACCAAATCACCCGACACGCTCTTTTCCACGGTTCCCCTCAGTTGAGAAAGGTCCGGAACAGACTGGTCCAGATTTGCTGGTTCGTTCACTGACCTACGCATTGGGCCATCGCTCCCATCAGTCATGGCTGTTGACTCTGCTATAATGACTCTCTGCTAATGTCTGTCAGCTGCTCTGTCTGCTACACAAAGCCCCGGCCTGTCAGAGCTGATTGGAGAGCATATTTACTCAGGACTACATTAAACACTGTTCCCCTCATTACAAGCGGGGTGACATGGGAATATGAGTTCATTGTTATCCACAATGACAGGGATGGACAGGAGGAGCATGGGAGCAAACAATAGTAATATTAGGTCTGACTGGAAACACCATAGCAACCAGAGAGGTTAGCCCTGAAGCGCAGTTCCCCGCTCAAAGCCCAAGTCAATACTTTTCTCGCCTTTCTTTTCCCTCCTTTCGCTCCTCTCCCGCCCTGTTTTTCTCTCCTTGCTGGTGAACAGAGAGTGGGGCACCTTCCCCGGGGCCGCATCATTCACTGCCCATGGTCCCATTGGAGGCCGAGCCCAGCACAAAGGCAGCGGTCATTGCCATTCTCCACACTCCCCCTCTCCCCTGAAAAGGCACATTTCAATCTAAAATGCCCCCACCTCATCCCACTCACCCCGCGCAGACAGGGACAGGCCCGGCCGGCATTAGATACCTCAGAGGGGAGGAGCCATCACTCTACCTCTATGACTCACTGGTTCTGGAACAATGAGCCCAATGCTGCTTCAGCGGCTGCGGATTTTGATTGGGGGGGATTAGTTCAACCAAAACTCTGGGCAGTTTTCTAGGAATATGTCCCTTCCATTGGTCTGTGCCTCTGCTTAACATTATGGTTGTTCCATTATTGAGTTCATGTTTGTATTGTGCTAAAGATAAGTAGGAAACTAGCTGGTAAAATGTGATAGAAAAGAAAACAGCTCATCAAAGGCATTACAGTGTGAGCAGTGGGCACTCAAGAGGAAGCACTTCTGTAGGTCACTGGAGACTGTCATTGTCTGTTTAATCCAAAAACTACTAGGTCACAATAAAACAAGCGATGGAGACTTTCATTGGACTTGTTGGATTGTAACAAAGTGATTAATGAAATAATAATGTCCCCGCTTTGAGGGGAACCAAATACTTTTCCTCCAATGGCACACGAGATGTTGTGTTCCCTCACATTCTGCTGGCTGAATCTGACATGGCCCTGTTATTATAGACCATGAATAGAATATCCACACTAGGAGAGGGTTGCCTGGCAACAGCTTTATGATGCAAAGTGACTTCCTGAATAGACCAAAATGTAACATCCTGTGTGTTGGTCTGGGGGGGACGGCTGAAAAGGATGGGGATAAGGGAGGAGGGGTAGTGGGTTATAGTTCCATACATTCTTCACTGATTGATATGGAAATAAAAAAGTTGTGAAGCCGTCGTCAGGGAAAAATATCTCGTTTGTATGGTGAGTTCTATTTTCTCAAATATATACTCTGAGCATAGCTGTGAAAACATTCCTCCCACCCTTTTCTAGTGTCTCTCCCGCTCTTTATCCGTCTGTCTCATCCCCCTCTCCCTCTGTTTCTCTCTCTCTCTCATTCCTCCTGTGTGTCTGGCACACTGCCCATTCCACTGTCCCATCAACGGTTCTCTGGAATGACACAGCAGCAGTTCTGACAGGAAGCAGCAAAGTGAAAACGTCCACAGAGGACTGTGGGTATTCTTCTCCCAGTGTGGTCCAGCTATAATCATTACCCTCATCACTCTATAGACAGTCACTGTCAGACACTTGATGAAGTACAGCTGGTCTAGTAAAAATGGATAAGTCATCAGGACACGAAGTACAGTGTATAAATCTATATCAATATCTACCAACACTACATAACATCCATAAATAAAAAAATTTTTTGTACCTTTATTTAACTAGGCAAGTCAGTTAAGAACAAAATCTTATTTAGGGCGGCAGGTAGCTTAGTGGTTAAGAGCGTTGTGCCAGTAACCGAAAGGTCGCTGGTTCTAATCCCCGAGCCGACTAGGTGAAAAATCTGTCGATGTGCCCTTGAGCAAAGCACTTAACCCTAATTGCTCCTGTAAGTCGCTCTGGATAATAGCGTCTGCTAAATGACTAAAATGTAAATGTAGAATTTACAATGACGGCCTACACCGGCCAAACCCGGACGACACTGGGCCAATTGTGCGCCACCCTATGGGACTCCCAACCATGGCCGGTTGTGATACAGCCTGGAATCGAACCAGGGGGTCTGTAGTGACGCCTCAAGCACTAAGATGCAGTGCCTTAGACCGCTGCGCCACTCGGGAGCCCAATTACCGGTATGCAAGTCAATTGCAGGCCAAACATGTTACGAAAATATGTCTTGTATTTTGACGTCTCATAATTCAAGTCTGTGGTAAAAGACAAACATAATTCAGTTTAGGCATGTACTGTACTGATGTTGGAAATTAACTGCTCTTAGTACTCCTGCTCAGTGCTTCAGAGTGAGGTCTGATAAAGCCAAGTCTCTAGTGGGCCTTTTTTATTGTATTTTTTTATTTCACCTTTATTTAACCAGGTAAGCCAGTTGAGAACAAGTTCTCATTTACAACTGCGACCTGGCCAAGATAAAGCAAAGCAGTGCGATAAAAACAACAACACAGAGTTACATATGGGGTAAACAAAACATAAAGTCAAAAATACAACAGAAAATATACATACAGTGTGTGTAGGAATGTGTAGTAAATTATGGAGGTAAGGCAATAAATAGGCCATAGTGCAAAATAGTTACAATTTCGTATTAACACTGGAATGATAGATGTGCAAAAGATGATGTGCAAATAGAGATACTGGGGTGCAAATTAGCAAAATAAATAACAATATGGGGATGAGGTAATAATATAATATAATATGCCATTTAGCAGACGCTTTTATCCAAAGCGACTTACAGTCATGCGTGCATACATTTTTTTGTGTATGTAGTTGGGTGGGCTAATTACAGATGGGCTGTGTACAGGTGCAGTGATCGGTAAGCTGCTCTGACAACTGACGCCTAAAGTTAGTGAGGGAGATAAGAGTCTCCAGCTTCAGAGATTTTTGCAGTTCGTTCCAGTCATTGGCAGCAGAGAACTGGAAGGAATGGCGGCCAAAGGAGGTGTTGGCTTTGGGGATGACCAGTGACATATACCTGCTGGAGCTACGGGTGGGTGTTGCTATGGTGACCAGTGAGCTAAGATAAGATGGGGATTTGCCTAGCAGTGATTTATAGATGACCTGGAGCCAGTGGGTTTGGCGACGAATATGTAGTGAGGGCCAGCCAACAAGACCGTACAGGTCACAATGGTGGGTAGTATATGGGGCTTTGGTGACAAAACGGATGGCACTGTGATAGACTACATCCAATTTGCTGAGTAGAGTGTTGGAAGCTATTTTGTAAATTACATCGCCGAAGTCAAGGATCGGTAGGATAGTCCGTTTTACGAGGGCATGTTTGGCAGCATGAGTGAAGGAGGCTTTGTTGCGAAATAGGAAGCCGATTCTAGATATAACTTTTGATTGGAGATGCTTAATGTGAGTCTGGAAGGAGAGTTTACAGTCTAACCAGACACCTAGATATTTGTAGTTGTCCACATACTCTAGGTCAGACCCGCCGAGAGTAGTGATTCTAGTCGGGTGGGCGGGTGCAAGCAGCGTTCGGTTGAAGAGCATGCATTTAGTTTTACTAGTGTTTAAGAGCAGTTGGAGGCTACGGAAGGAGTGTTGTATGGCGTTGAAGCTTGTTTGGAGGTTTGTTAACACAGTGTCCAATGAAGGGCCAGATGTATACAAAATGGTTTCGTCCGCATAGGAGGTGGATCCGAGCGTCACCAGCAGCAAGAGCGACATCATTGATATACACAGCGAATAGAGTCGGCCCGAGAATTGAACCCTGTGGCACCCCCATAGAGACTGCCAGAGGTCCAGACAACAGACCCTCCGATTTGACAAATTGAACTCTATCTGAGAAGTAGTTGGTGAACCAGGCGAGGCAGTCATTTGAGAAACCAAGGCTATTTAGTCTGACAATAAGAATGCTGTGGTTGACAGAGTCGAAAGCCTTGGCCAGGTCGATGAAGACGACTGCGCAGTATTTCTTTAATGTGGCATGCTTATTTAAGATTGAGTGGAAAGCACTTTTAAAGAACAACCAGGCATCCTCTACTGACGGATTGAGGTCAATATCCATCCAGGATACCCGGGCCAGGTCAATTAGAAAGGCCTGCTCGCTAAAGTGTTTTAGGGAGCGTTTGACAGTGATGAGGGGACCCATTACGGACACAGGCAATAAGGCAGTGATCGCTGAGATCCTGGTTGAAGACTGCGGAGGTGTATTTAGAGGGTAAATTTGTCAGTATGATATCTATGAGGGTGCCCATGTTTACAGATTTTGGGTTGTACCTGGTAGGTTCGTTGATAATTTGTGTGAGATTGAGGGCATCTAGTTTAGATTGTAGGTTGGCCGGGGTGTTAAGCATATCCCAGTTTTAGGTCACCAAGCAGTACGAACTCTGAGGATAGATGGGGGGCAATCAGTTCACATATGGTGTCCAGGGCACAGCTCGGGGCTGAGGGGGTCTGTAGTAAGCGGCAACAGTGAGAGACTTATTGCTGGAAAGGTGGATTTTTAGAAGTAGAAGCTCAAACTGTTTGGGCACAGACCTGGATAGTATAATAGTAGCCTAGTCTGACCAAAGTTATATCCCAACCCAGACCCAGCAAATCTGTGTTTTGTCTAGTGTTGAACCAGTCTACACTTTATAGGACCACAAGGCCTAGCCCAGGTTTCCCCCGACGTACCTTGTTGTAGTAGTGAACTTGGACCACATGCCACTGGCCATCACTGACACCTCCAAGGATGTAGGGCGACACAGTCGTCTTGGTCTCACCTAAAAAAAGGAAACAGTAAGCAAAGGTTATTCACACATCATTGGATCAGGGCTACAGTGTCAACACTTGTCACGATCACATTTGAATATTTTAATGACAACCAAATCTAGATTTGGGGTTAATTGGCTGACGTGCACTAACAGAAGCCCCTCCTACCTGCAGAGAAGGTGAGCTGGATCTGCTCACTGATGATTTCCACAGCGATGAAGTCATGCTTCTCGTTGAAGCGGCCATTGTAGAGTAGTAAACCATTTGGCTCCTTTGTGGCAAATCTGGAAGATAGAAAAAAACAGGGTCTATAGTTTCTTAACAGCCAAAGACAATAAGAAAGAGTAAACAACATAATGTTCACTGAGGAGAGGTCTTTGTGGGGGGGAAGACTACTAGAAGATGCATTCCTGGCAGTATAATTCTGTAACTATAACTAATCATTGCTGCAATAAATGCATTTTCAACTTCCACATTGAACATTCAGTGCTCAAAAACATGTCTAAATGGTTCTGTATCAATAGTATGTGTAGCCTTCTCATACCCATGTCTAGAACCCCATCCAGTGCCCTTGCCACAAGAAAGACAGACAGACAATATACTGACTGACATGCCCTATTACAGCAGAGGACACAGATTATGAATGCACCAGAAAACAACGGTTTTCCTTTCCTATTAGGTTACTATGAGGGCATATTGATGCACTGTCCCTAGTGATTCACCATTGAGGAGCAAAGGGTGAAATGTAACAATGCTGCAATTTTCCACAGATCACTGAGCACCCAACAGGGTTAACCACCATGAGCACCATTCTCTGACAGAGACGGAGAAAAGCACTACAAAACAATATAATATCTGCAGTGAAGGCATGGAGCATGATACAGTCCATAAACTCAGACTGCATGCCATGGATAGTGACTACACCACAGAAATAGAATGAATAGAACGGGCATCCCCATTCAAGTAAATTATGTCATAATGGGTGAACTGGCAGCCATTTTGAGTGTACCCATAGGAAGTAGGAAGTAAAAGCAGGAAGTGTACCCATCAATCTGTGTTTTGATTTGTTGAATCAACTCAACTGATGTTACAAAAAATACATTCCATTGCATTACCATGGAAATGATTGCATCACAATACCAGGCAGCCATTGTGAGTGTATCCATGAGTTTACCAGTCAAATTGCCACGGTTAGAGGTTCCAAGCCCGTTCTATTCATTCTATTTCTATGGACTACACACAGAGTGAGATGAAAAGACGTTCTGATAAGATGTGACAAACTGGGCCAATTTCAAAACTCCAGCTTGAAAAATACATGTGCAACCTTAACTGTATGATATGGAAATAATAGACTAAGCTCAGAACGATAATGATGGTTGGTAGCAATGAGGAGATGCAATATTTTAACAGAGGAGATACTAGGCAGAAATTAGGTAGTTACTATACAATCACAGAAAATAGGTATGCATTTGTTTTCTCAAAGAGGAACATCAAAAACAGGCTGCAAGTAAATAACTATTTCTGAAGAGATGACAAAAAAAACTAGTCTATAGTGCTGGAGGTCATTGTGTTGTTGTCTTTTATTGTCACGTTAATGGACAGTTAGACACATTTAAACAAGCCAGTGCACCTCTGGCTCCCATCCAGAGCCCACGCCAAGTGACGCCACTAACGCTCCCGTCTAACCTGGGATTCAAGGAATGACGCGTTCCAACTGCAGAAAGACCACAGGGCAAAGAAAAAAGACACAAATTCTATAAAGAAATCAAATCATTGGGTCACTGAGTGCTGAGGTGTCTTCATTTGATTCACCACAAAGGTAAAATGATCATGTGTGACACTGTGTTATCTTATATAATGATAATGCAGGCAGTCCAGGCCAAATGCAGAAGTTGGCAGAAAAGTATGGAACCAGAAAATATTTTCCGCTCATTCCTGTCCCAGGGGACCACACAGTGGATCTGCTCCGTTTTACATTTGGAACATTCTGAACATCTGTGGGAGAACTGAGAGCCCTGTTTGTGTTACTGGTGTGACTCATTGGTGCTTGTAGTCTGCATCTGCCTGTTCAGATGGAGACCGTGTCAGACGGATGAAGCCTACTGATTTTCTTTTTTAAATGAGGGAGAGATTCCAGAGATCTAAATACAGTGTCTCAGGATGCTCTCAGAGCACATTCGCAAATGTTGGGAGGCTATGTGTGGGTGTGTGTGCCAGTGTGTGAGCCAGTGTGTGAGCCTGCATGCATTATTCCGGAGCTGGAGCGTAGCCATGGGGCACAGCAAAGCTGAACTGCTTACTGAGGAGAATGATAATCATGACCTCAGACAAGAGGGAAGAGGGGAAAAACACACGCACCAGCTGATTACAATAACACTGAATATGAAAAATCGTGTTCACCCATGACTGCATGGCCACGCACGACTCCAAAACCATCATTAAGTTTGCTGACGACACGACGGTGGTAGGCCTGACTACCAACGACGATGAGGCAGCCTATAGGGAGGTGGTCAGTAACCTGGCAGTGTGGTGCCAGGACAACAACCTTTCTCTCAACATCAGCCAGACAAAGGAGCAGATCGTGGATTACAGTAAACGGAGGGCCGAGCACGCTCCCATCCATATCGACGGGGCTGTAGTGGAGCGGGTCGAGAGCTTCAAGTTCCTCAGGGTCCACATCTCTAAAGAATTAACAAGGTCCACACACACACCAACACAGTCGTGAAGAAGGCCCAACAACGCCTCTTCCCCCTCAAGAGGCTGAAAAGATTTGGCAGATCCTCAAAAGGTTCTACAGCTGCACCATTGAGAACATATTGACTGGCTGCAGTTAGTGAGTGCATAGATTATTAATTTTTTTATACTGGCCCCCCGTGGGAATCGAACCGACAACCCTGGCGTTGCAAACGCCATGCTCTACCAACTGAGCTACATCCCTGCCGGCCATTCCCTCCCCTACCCTGGACAACGCTGGGCCAATTGTGCGCCGCCCCATGGGTCTCCCGGTCGCGGCCGGCTACGACAGAGCCTGGATTCGAACCAGGATCTCTAGTGGCACAGCTAGCACTGCAATGCAGTGCCTTATCTCTGCTACCGCACGGCAAGCAGTACCAATGCACCAAGTCAGGAACCAACAAAACCGTAAACAGCTTCTACACCCAAGCAATTAAGACTGCTAAATAGTTATTCAAATAGCTACCTGGACTATCTGCATTGACCATCCCTTTGCAGTAACTATTTTGACTCATCACATACGCTGCTGCTACTGCTTATTATCTATCCTGTTGCCTAGTCACTTTACCCCTACTCCTATGTACATCCACTACATGACCAAAAGTATGTGGACACCTGCTTGTCGAACATCTCATTCCAAAATCATGGGCATTAATATGGAGTTGGTACCCCCTTTGCTGCTATAACAGCATCCACTCCTCTGGGAAGGTTTTCCACTAGATGTTGGAACATCGCTGCAGGGACTTGTTCCATTCGGCCACAAGAGCATTAGTGAGGTCGGGCACTGATGTTGGGCGATTAGTCCTGGCTTGCAGTCGGCGTTCTAATTCATAACATAAGGTGTTCTATGGGGTTGAGGTCAGGGCTCTGTGCAGCCCAGTCAAGTTCTTCCACACCGATCTCGGCAAACCATTTCTGTATGGACCTCGCTTTGTGCACAGGGGCATTGTCATGCAGAAACAGGAAAGGGCCTTCTCCAAACTGTTGCCACAAAGTTGGAAGCACAGAATCGTTGAGAATGTTATTGTATGCTGTAGCGTTAAGATTTCCCTTCACTGGAACTAAGGGGCCTAGCCCGAACCATGAAAAACAGCCCCAGACCATTATTCCTCCTCCACCAAACTTTGCAGTTGGCACTATGCATTCGGGCAGGTAGAATTCTTCCTATATCTGCCAAACCCAGATTCATCCGTCGGACTGCCAGATGGTGAAGCGTGCTTCATCACTCCAGAGAACGCGTTTCCACTGCTCCAGAGTCCAATGGCGGTGAGCGTTACACCACTCCAGTCGATGCTTGGCATTGTACATGGTGATCTTAGGCTTGTGTGGCGCTGCTCGGCCATGGAAACCCATTTCATGAAGCTCCCGACGAACAGTTCTTGTGCTGACGTTGCTTCCAGAGGCAGTTTGGAACTCAGTAGTGAGTGTTGCAACCGAGGACAGACGATCTTTATGCACTATGCGCTTCAGCACTCGGCGGTCCCGTTCTGTGAGCTTGTGTGGCCTATCACTTTGGGGCTGAGCCGTTGTTGCTCCTAGACGTTTCCCCTTCAAAATAACAGCACTTACAGTTGACCGGGGCAGCTCTAGCAGGGCAGAAATTTGACGAACTGACTTGTTGGAAAGGTGGCATCATATGACAGTGCCACGTTGAAAGTCACTGAGCTCTTCAGTAAGTCCATTCTACTGCCAATGTATGTCTATGGAGATAGCTGTGTGCTCGATTTTATACACCTGTCAGCAACATGTGTGGCTGAAATAGCCGAATGCACTAATTTGAAGGAGTGTACACATATACATATACATATATATATATATATATATATATATATATATATATATATATATATACACAAAAGTATCTACCTCAATTACCTCGTTCCCCTGCACATCGACTTGGTACTGGTACCTCGTGTATATAGCCAAGTTATCGTTACTCATTGTGAATTTATTCCTAGTGTTATTATTTTTCTATTATTATTCTATCTGTATTGTTGGGAAGGGCAAGTAAGTAAGCATTTCACTGTTAGTCTACACCTGTTGTTTACAAAGCATGTGACGAATACAATTTCATTTGAAACAGAAAATCTATTGTATTGTTTATGTCTTATGATTATAAGAGCAGAAATTGTTAGCATCTAGAAATAGTATTTATTTTCATGTATGGCTTGGCCTTCTAGTCATCAATTAATAGGTTTCCAAGGCTTGTGCACACAGCTTCAAGATCCCCCCGGACTGACCGCAATCAACCATAACTGACTCCACTGGCAACATTATGTGTCACATTAGGCTGCCATTAGCAAAGTTAACAACCAGTCTACCCATATTAACGTATGGAAGGGCCGAGGGCCACGGTGTAACGGCAAGTTGATGTAACTGTATAAGACATGTGCATTGAGGAAGTCTCTAGATGGACATGGTCAGTAAAAGGAGAACCTGACATGAATAGTAACAATGTGAAAATGTTGCTGCTAAGGCTGTTTCTGGTAACAGACCCACTTTCAACTCACTCTTTCTGCTCACACTTCCAACACACTCTGCTAACTCTCTCTCTACTGCAGTGTAGTCTAACCTGATCAAGCCAGGTTCAGGTAACAGAGATGCCTGACAGACAGCCTGCTGGGTGTTAGCTGTTATATCCCCAGCTTTACAGACCACCTACTTCACAGCTCTGTGAGCAATCTGGGAACTACTGGCCAAGGCTTTTAAGAAAGAGGTCGGAGCGGTTCTCAATTCAAAAGACTGCCATCTGAGCTACATTCAAAAAAAGGCCACCACTTCCAGAAAACTCACAAAGGCATATCATTATCACCACTACTCATTAATGGCTAGTTTCAAGCCCTGCCAAGAACTTCTAGAGTGACAACACATCACAAATGTACATAAAAATGGGCATGTAATTTTACGGTGATAGCAACTGGGGGTATTGTCTTTCCTATGATGGGATAATATATCCTCTGTGCTGCTTTTATTGTCACTTGGGATGGCGCATTTCATTCACATGAATGTAGCCCTGTCTCCTTTACATGAACGTACTTCCGTGATCGACTGTGTTCAGTGTTACTCATCTGTTTAATTTAAGCACCACCCTCCCCTGGCTCCGTCGCACAAGATACTAGTCTTTGATCTTGGACTGGAAATACAACTTGCTCTAACTGTATCAGACAAATGACACCATTATGATTTAGTGCTGATGTAAAACTGGATGGTCGTAAATTGAGAGCAAATACACGTTCCCAAAATATCAAGGCATACCAGGATGAAGGCACCCTAGGTGTAGGAGTTAATCTCACACACGCGCGCACCCTAGCGCCAGACGGTGCGTTACATATCTCCAGCTTCACCTTGATATGAGAGAGAGAGAGAGAGAGAGAGAGAGAGAGAGAGAGAGAGAGAGAGAGAGAGAGAGAGAGAGAGAGAGAGAGAGAGAGAGAAGAGAGGAGAGAGAGGAGAGATAGAGGAGGAGAGAGAGCGAGGGAGAGAGAGAGCGAGAGAGAGATAGAGAGAGAGAGAGACGCAGAGAGGAGATGAGCAGGAGAGATAGGAGAAGGTCAGGAGAGAGGGGAGCGGGGAGATGAGAATGGGAGAGAGAGAGAGAGAGAGAGAGAGAAGCGCTGACTCACAGCTCAAAGTGACCACTGAATGCAATCAGATCAGACTCCTGGGTCTCAGATTAATGTCCTCAGTTATGCAAGGAGCCAGTCCAGAAAAAGCAACTCCTCAGTCCACATTAGAAACCTCTCTCTCCATACATATTCATCATGCTCAGGGAACCCAAACCCAGCTAGAGAAGATGAGCCTTTTAAAGACCACGGCTATTAAATGATTCAATAACTGTTATGAAACACCAGGGATCTTATGTAAATGAGAGGGGAGGAGGAATCATACATCACAGGCCGTTAGAGGTGTGAGGTGAGAGTATAAGAGCAGTTGTGGAATGTTTGAAGTGGATAATTTAGAGAGAGAGAGAGAGAGAGAGTAATGTTAGAGAAGAGTCATACAAAAAGAGAGAAAGAGAGGGTGGAGTGTTGGGAGGAAGAACGAGAGAGAGGTGGAGAGAAGGAGAGAATCATAGTACTATATTTAGGGAGCTACTTTGTACTGTGAAAGTGAATGATTGAGATGGCACCATGCCCCACTGTGTGGGGTAGTTGTTGTACTTACGAGAGGGAGAGGGTGAAGTGGAAGCGCTGGCGGAGTCCCTTGAAGGTGAGGAACGACTGCAGGGGGAAGTTCCTGGTGGTCATCTCACAGTAGGGCTTTTCATAACCGCCAGACGGGCACTCACATTTGAACCCTCCCACCAGCAGGTTCACACAGGTGCCCCCATTCTTACACACAGCTGGGCCGCAGCGCCCGGAGCGGGACGACAGCTCACACCGCTTGCCTGGAGGAAGAGAGATGGGTAGGAGGAAGGGAAAGAGAGACCAGTCAGAATTACGACTATCAGGGTGACAAATTACAGTGCCAGCCCTGGACAGCCTATGTGGGTAAAACAATTAAATTGGTCCTCCCTTCCAGTTCAACTTCGATAGTGTCTATTCTCACCACACCACTGCTGCTGTTTAATATGGGGCAAGACAAGCTGCATTACGCCTCAAGAACTTACCACATGAGCCTTCTCCGTGAGGGAGGGGGGAGGGGGGGGGCGGAATGTGAGAGAGAGGCAGAGATGGAGAGAAAAGGTCAAAGGACACAGCAAGGAAGAGACAGATTTCAGACACAGACGCAGGGAGAGAGAGAGAAAGCGAGCGAGCTATGGCAATGGGAAACTGTTTCACTGTTAGTAAGCCTTCATGCTTTGTGTAGCCCTGCCCTGTGCACTGCTTACAACTTCTATTTGTCTCCAGTCTCTGGATGAGGGGCTGCAGTTGCTATGGCGAGACTGCACGCCTCCTTGCACGAGTTGGAATGTGTGTCAGAGCCACGCGGTAGCGCGGAACACTTCCGCTGTGTGTAGAGTTACTGTACTGTTAACACAACACATACTATAAATACAGTGTTGACCCTTCTTTTTCAAGACCTCTGCAATCCGCCCTGGCATGCTGTCAATTAACTTCTGGGCCACATCCTGACTGATGGCAGCCCATTCTTGCATAATCAATGCTTGGAGTTTGTCAGAATTTGTGGGGTTTTGTTTGTCCACCCGCCTCTTGAGGATTGACCACAAGTTCTCAATGGGATTAAGGTCTGGGGAGTTTCCTGGCCATGGACCCAAAATGTCGATGTTTTGTTCCCCGAGCCACTTAGTTATCACTTTTGCCTTATGGCAAGGTGCTCCATCATGCTGGAAAAGGCATTGTTCGTCAACCAAACTGTTCTTGGATGGTAGTTGTTCTCGGAGGATGTGTTGGTAACATTCTATATTCATGGCTGTGTTCTTAGGCAAAATTGTGAGTGAGCACACTCCCTTGGCTGAGAAGCAACCCCACACATGAATGGTCTCAGGATGCTTTACTGTTGGCATGACACAGGACTGATGGTAGCGCTCACCTTGTCTTCTCCGGACAAGCTTTTTTCCGGATGCCCCAAACAATCGGAAAGGGGATTCATCAGAGAAAATGACTTTACACCAGTCCTCAGCAGTCCAATCCCTGTACCTTTTGCAGAATATCAGTTTGTCCCTGATGTTTTTCCTGGAGAGAAGTGGCTACCTCGCTGCCCTTCTTGACACCAGGCCATCCTCCAAAAGTCTTCGCCTCACTGTGCGTGCAGATGCACTCACACCTGCCTGCTGCCATTCCTGAGCAAGCTCTGCACTGGTGGTGCCCCGATCCCGCAGCTGAATCAACTTTAGGAGACGGTCCTGGCGCTTGCTAGACTTTCTTGGGCGCCCTGAAGCCTTCTTCACAACAATTGAACCTCTCTCCTTGAAGTTCTTGATGATCTGATAAATGGTTGATTTATGTGCAATCTTACTAGCAGCAATATCCTTGCCTGTAAAGCCCTTTTTGTGCAAAGTAATGATGATGGCACGTGTTTCCTTGCAGGTAACCATGGTTAACAGAGGAAGAACAATGATTTCAAGCACCACCCTCCTTTTAAAGCTTCCAGTCTGTTATTCTAACTCAATCAGCATGACAGAGTGATCTCCAGTCTTGTCCTCGTCAACACCCTCACCTGTGTTAACGAGATAACCACTGACATGATGTCAGCTGGTCCTTTTGTGGCAGGGCTGAAATGCAGTGGAAATGTTTTTTGGGGATTAAGTTCATTTTCATGGCAAAGAGGGACTTTGCAATTACTTGCAATTCATCTGATCACTCTTCATAACATGCTGGAGTATATGCAAATTGCCATCATAAAAACTGAGGCAGCAGACTTTGTGAAAATTAATATTTGTGTCATTCTCAAAACTTTTGACCACGATTGTTCACAGGGCTTGTGTTGTACATACTACAGCCAATCACAGGATTCTCATTCTAAGACAATTAAGGGCATCCTTTGTTTTACTACTGTTGTAGGGTGTATTCATTCATTCATTTATTCATTCATTCATTCAACTGCAAGGTCGTTGTGGTCATTATAGATTAAGCTTTGATAAGATGTGGATAAGAATGGGATTAAAACATTTTATCCTATGATGCATTGCCATTACAGTAGTCAGCATTGTACCGTGGTGGGCTACACAGGCAGAAGAACAGTCACTTTGCCCTGGCGAACTATGACAATTTGTTGTTGTTTTCTTGTTGATGGCGCTTGGGGACACTTGGCTACTGCTAGTAGAAAAAACTAACTGCATGAGTCGTGTGGAAATTAATCAGCGACTCGCCTCAGGCAACAAGTTACTTCTGTCTCTAAACAAATTAGGGCAAGAGGGGACATTAGTCAGGGCTTGATGTGGTCAAGCATTGCTGCAGCCAACACTGGGCTACTGTAGGAAAGTGGGACACTGGGATAGTAGTCTACTTCCTCTAAAGTCACCTTGGGCCTCATTTTCACTGAGGAGGCTTCAAAGTTAAATGTGATGTATTCTTCTTTATTCAGTTATAATTATACGCCAGCTCAATTTAAAAAAACAATTATAGTAGAAAAAACAAGGGGGGAAGGGGCTTTTGATTTTGTGGTTGAGTTACTAAGAAGACATTGCAATCCTCGAACAATCAGAAAGGAGAAATGGTAGCATTCTGTTTACTTCAAAATACCTACCAGCTCAGCTACACATATTAAACTGTACTGGCTATATCCCATGTAAGTGACTATCCAGAAACCGTACAGAAGACAGTAAGAGACATTATAGTGAGCATCCGGTCTCCGCCCTGCAGTCACCTGAGCCTGTTCTGTTGTCTATACGGTAACCTGGGAATAAACAGGGCCAATGTTTTTCTGTCAGGCATCCCACTGGGACACCCTCCCACCACAGGTGCAGGTTCCTGGAACAACAGCTCTCAGTTGCTAGGTGAGCTGGGCAGTGTGAGGGTGGGAGGAGCTTGCAAAAATAAATAAATTGAAAGCATTTCCTACCCCTGCCCTCTCCAACTCTCTGTTTACCGCAAACATTAATCATTAAGGCTGTCAAAATGTGCAGGGACACGGGAGATGGTGCCAGTTTTAGGCAGGAGGAGACACACCACACACTTTAAACTACTCAAGCATGGTAAATATCAATGAGAGAAAGTGTATCATTTTGTGGCAATCCAATAGATATAAAACCGTCAATTCAACAGCTCTAAAGGCAACATACTGTGGAGAACTTGACAAAATGGACCTCTAAAATCATGTGGCACATTGAATTACAAGCATTTTCCAAATGAAATGTTTGTTGGATTTCTCCTCAAATTTTACCATATATTAACATGTAATGTTTTCATGAGGGCCTTGAAAGGGTAACCTTATTAAACTATTAACAACACACTAATGCCAGAGCATGCAAGCTCACACACACACACACACACACCCGCCTTGTCTCCAACCACCATATCAAAACTCCCCAGTTGACAAGCCATTCAGATGAAAAAAATTGGGTTCTGTTCTCTTCAGCGGAGGTGAGACAGAGGTGCTTATCAAACACAACAACAGCCAATGAATCACACAATAGATATGAATCAGCAGAAGAATAGGCACACACAGACTCCATTCACAGTCTCAGCCCATAGCTGGCATCATCTCCACTGATCTTTATATAATCTAATGTGGTGATAAGAGTCAATGATTACCATGACTGATTCATATGATCCTTAGATTAGTGTAATTGTTCAGCTGCGTCTTTTAAAACAATGGTGTGTGAATAAGCAGGGGGATTAAATGGCGGGCTGTAACTAACTCCTCCTGCTGAGACTCCTCTACAGACCTCCTAAAGTGGAACAGTGGTTTCTGTGCTGCTAGGTAACTGAGTGAAACAGAGTGGGATAGAGTCCTCATATGGGCACAGTTTCTCCCTCAGGACGTGAAGGCATAGAAGGAAGGGAGGTAAGATAACTCAACGCTGGGACGGCTCAACACTACACGGTCCTGGCACTATCTGCAGGGCTTACTCAAAACAACACCAACCCACCAATCATACTGAGAGCTTGCTGGGAGAATACACTTCATTTATTCAGTTACAGCTAACCTGGTGTGACTACCATGTAAAATCAGGTAGGGGTGAATCAAGGCCATGTAGAATTTTTTTCTATACCTCATCCACTGATTCCATTCACTAGTAGTGAAGGTGAGAGAGTGGTATAACTGTGATCCCACCGTGCCAAACCCATCATAGCATGTGCCAGGGGATGAACCTGGACCAGATAACAGGCTTACACGAAGCAACAATGATGCTTTTTATAACTAGCTAGACCAGAGGTGAGGGGACTAAAACCGAGACTGTAGGAGCGTTATATGAATAACAGAATCTAATATCTAACAAAACACAATCTATGATCACAATTCTGCCTAATTCAAATTCAGTTGGGGTGATACTGGAGGCTTTCCATGAGGCATTCCTACTACATGCTTTGATTATTTAATTGATTAATACAACTTCAAACACTGAAATATAAAGCTTTCAGCATTTGTGTACTGAAGGCTACTGATAGAACTAACCACAACATAAAGAATGCTTGATTAGATCAAAGCATCTGCCTCTAACCCTAGGAAGCTCTTTGCCACCTTCTCCTCCCCCTCCCCCCTCCTCCCTCTCTGTGGATGACTTCGTCAACCATTTTGAAAAGAAGGTTGACGACATCCGATCCTCGTTTGTTAAGTCAAATGACACTGCTGGTCCTGCTCACACTGCCCTACCCTATGCTTTGACTTCTTTCTCCCCTCTCTCTCCAGATGAAATCTTGCGACGGCCGGCCGCCCAACAACCTGCCCGCTTGACCCTATCCCCTCCTCTCTTCTCCAGACCATCTCCGGTGACCTTCTCCCTTACCTCACCTCGCTCATCAACTCATCCTTGACCGCT